CGTAACGCTATCAGTTTATTCCACCTACAGAACAAAGTATAATTCTTTTTTTATTGGTAACCCATTTTGCTTATTTAAATATTGATATCTCCTGAGAGGAGTACATATCTTGTAACGTCAAATAAAATATTACAAATGTTTCAAAAGCTTTATTCAAATATTTTAAAATATTAATCTTTTAATGAAATATTTGATTGAATATTGAATTTTATATCAAATATGAATTTGAAATATTTATATTTCCGATTTTTAAATCAGAGGAAATTCAATAATGTTTGAAACATTCTTCTTATTGGTAATATTCTCTTCAACGTAACCAGTCGCCAAAGCTGCCGATTTCCATCTTCCTTACCGTTGAATTTGATCTATTGTCAATTGTCATGTCACTAGTCGCCATAATTGTAGCAGAAGTACGTCGAAACGCATGTCCCGAGTATTTCTCAGGGTCGTCCAATTTTAGATAACGTCCAGTTTGCAAGGAACATGAACCAAATGTATTAATACCAACTACTTGATTAGTGCACTTTCCATCATCATACTGTAAGAAAACTCGATCTATACTTACATTTTTTGGGCGCAATCATAAATACTTCTTCACCAAACGCACATAATTAATTGCATAGCTAGCAGCAACTGTAAAACGTCGAGTCATCACAGTCTTAGATAGTCGGATAGTAATAAAAAAAGAGGTTAAATCTTTGTAAATGGGTTTATTTAAAATATAAATATACCCATTTAAAAAGATTTAACCTCTTTTGTGATACGTGGTATACAGCCAGCTGCAGGAATTATTTTCCTTGTGGATTTGGATAGTAATAAGCAATACACTTTCTTCTTACTTGATGTCATGTAAGCGTAACTCACACAATTCACATCTTCTGCAAGATACCGCAAATGGCTACCACCTTCAAAAATAAATACGTAATGTCCGGAGCATCTGTGAAAAACTGAAAATCGTTTTCCTTGAATACATACGTCTTCTTGGCCACGTCATATGAATGCATGCACTTTCGCAAATGATTTTAAATCCCCTTTGTTTATCTTAAACATACTTTGCAATTTCAAATGGATAACAAACATAGTCGACGGTTATTACAAAAATTTGGTTTAATATTTGAATTACATATTTGATATTTAAAAACTATCATGATTAACTTATGAAAGGAATTGATTATATGGTAACGTAGGACTCCACTGTGGTTACTAGTCCTTCGACGAAGTGTCTGTAAGGACTTGTGATAGCAACTGAATAAAATTACATATTAGGACAGAAGTCAAAACAAGGCAGTTAATGTAACCAGACGTATGTGTCTAAAAGTGACAGTATCCAACAATAAATAAATATAAAAAGGCAGTTTAAAGTAAGGACGTATGTGTCTAAATGTGACAGTAGCCAACGTATAATTAAATATGTTAAAATTTGATTGATTACAACAGTAGCAACCATCAATGTGTTGGAATTTGGAGTGTTTTATCCTGAAAGTTTGTTAAAAAAAAATGTTATTAAATATTTTTGTGGATGGATTGAAGAGTAATAAAAGTTATGATTTTATGTAAGCAACTAACTATATAGATATATGATACAATGGTGGAGAGTTAAAAATGTTTATAAAAGATATGTTTTATCAACATTTGGTACCTTTCATATGGAAAGCAGATATATGCAGGAAGTTGGGTTTTTTATTATTATAAAGGGAAATGTCAATTGATGTATGTGAGTGTGTATTTCATATAGGAACAATGCTAACTACAGCAACGTGTTTCTGCGATTACTGACAACGAAAGCATAATAAAAAGGACGTACAATACAGTCAGTATAATTAATTTTCCTTCAGTTGAAAAATTATTTCAGATGCCCCTGAAGATACTCCAGGAGCGAAAGTACTTGGGCAAGATTTAATAAAAAACTGTGCTCGATATCCGCCTTTTATTTTATTATAGTTCATTTATTCGAGCATTCAAGCAAGCATGCAATTTAAGTAAACCTAGCCTGTGAGACATGTTCACCCCTAAGAATTAAGTTCGGGTGTAACAATTAATTGGAGCGAGGTGCATTAACTAGAGTTAAAAACAGGAGTCACTCCACCCCGCTCCAGTGCTCCAGGCCATCTCTATCCCCCCTATAGCACTCTGATGCGTGATAGGGGCTCAACTATCAGCCAAGGTCTTTTCGTGTGGGAGTCCTGGGTACAAGAACTCAAGCACGATATCATAACCCGATTAATCCAGGCTAGCGTGACACGCTCTTTTCCTGCTTTCTCTAGTGACGTATCATCGAACTGAAATTTCTTGTTCGGGCCTCAAGTCTCCGCTCCGGGTTGCGCCCACTTCGGCGATTCGGTGTCCGAGGATGTGGGCCCTTGGTTTTGGAGTTTTGTTAATTTTTTTTTATGGCTGTCGCCTTTTTGTTAGTATTTTTTTTAAATTTTTTGGACGCCAAAGCCTTTATTTAGTTATCTTTTTTTTTTTGAAAGTTGTCCTGAAAATAAACATCAGTTAATAAAATTTTCAGTGCTGCGTGCTGGGGCTTCTTCTGTTGGTAGAGCTACGAATTATCTAGACTATATGTGTTTGTCAGCATTTGCTGTGTTGGTATTTTGTGCTTCCATTGATGGAACGCACATTATACTTATTATCTCTCGCAGGATCGGGATTGGGTGATTCTCTAATTCTGCAAACCTAATTCTGTCTTTTTCTGCCATTTTATCTATCACTCCTACTTGTTGCAGTTCTCTAAACAGAAAGCGTTTAGCGACGTATCTGGTTACATTTGCAGCTTCTCCGAGGATGTTATTGTGGGCTGCTTGTATTTTCTCTTTATTTGAATTGCTTATGTGTCCCCATGCGAGAGATGCATATGTGATTATTGGAAGTATGATGCTGTTTATCAGTCTCATTTTCATCTTTACGCGCAGTTTGCTTTTTCTACCTGTGAGTCTTCTTATTGCTGCTCTGGCTGTTGCTGTTTTTTGGATGGTTGTGTCCACGTGTTGCGTGAAGGTTAAGCCTTGGTCCATAGTGACTCCTAGATATTTCGCTTCTCTTTTCCATTCGATGGATTATCTTGCACTAACAGCTGTTCCTCTGGGGTTTGTTTTTTCTTTTTGAATATGATTGCTTGCATCTTTTCTGAATTGATTGGATACACCATTCTTCAATGTTATCCAATGCTGTCTGTAGATTATTGACCGCTACTAAGTTTCTGTGTTTGGCCGCAATCGCTGTGTCGTCTGCATAAAGGCTGAGTAGTGTTTCCTGGGAACATCTGCGGTGTATATTGTGTATAGTAGGGGTGACAGGACTGCTCCCTGTGGCACTTCAGCCTCCGGAGCTCCAAGCTTCGGTTGTTCAAAAGTACGAAGAGATCAGTCCCGTCATGGCCTCGCTGTATCCGTAGCCTTTCATTTTGTATATTAGGCCTTTATGTGAGACTCTGTCGTAGGCTTTGCTTACATCCAGGAACGCTGCTCCTGTGTACTGTTTTTTGTTAAATCCAGCTGTTATGTACTTTGTCAGTCTAAGTACTTGTAATTCGCTAGAGTGTTCTGCTCTAAATCCGAACTAAGCTACTGGGAGTAGTCCTATTTCGTATGTTCCAGCTTGTAGTCTTCTTAGTACAGTAGACTCCCTCTATAACGAGAACTTAAATGACAGACTCATTACCTCGTTATAAGCGGATCTCGTTATATCTAACAACAATAATACTGTGCATACATATGAATATGTAGTTTTCTATGTCGGTCATTTTTCTATATTCCTCTGGATTTCTTGTTTGTATAAGTGTCACTCTTCCGCTTCTGGAAATTTTATTTACTGCATACAGCTGTTTCGTTAACACTTTGTACCTTGATTACTGGCGGTTTTTAAATTTTTTTAGTGTCATTTTGTTCTTCTGTTTGGCTATTTGTCTTTTCACAAATATCCATGGTATCTTCCTTTGCCTGAATAGGAAGGGAATGTACATTATTTTCTTCTTTTTGTGTGTTTTCTTGTGTATTTTGTTTTTTCCCCTTAGCTGGCAAGGAGGGAAAATCTTCTTTTATAATTTTTGCGTTTTTTTGAGAGCTATCGCTGTTTCTTTCTTTGTGATTGTTGTTATTTGTATTTGTAATTTTTTTCCTAGTTCTTCTTCTTTTTCTTAGCCTTTAGGATTGCTCCGTAGATTTCTTTTCTGGTTCTTTATTTGGTGCATTTAACTCGTCAAATCTTTTGTCTATTTGTTTTATGATGTCGCTGGAGTTGATTATCGAGTTTTGCCATTCGCAGACTTTCTCATTTAGTTTGATAGTTTCCTCTTCTTTTGCTTTTAATTTTTCGTTCATAATTGCCATAGTTTTCTTCTTCCTCATCATTGCTTTCATTTGGCCTTTGCCTTTTGCTGGCCTTTTCTCCTCCCTTTTCGTTTATTTCTTCGTTTTCCGTTTCTGTGTCGATGGCTGTTTGTTTCTTTTTGCCCTTTTTTGATTTTAAAGGTACTATAAAGTCATCTTCTTTTGATTTAATAACAGCGCTGGCGCACTTTTCATTGTTAAAATTTTCGAGATCAATCAATCAATATTTAAGATCCTGTACACCGGATCTCCACGTATTGTACACGTAACTGAGGAGTGCTTACGTTTTAATAAACCGTATCTTGGAAGCGGACACAATGTAATCCGTTTAATACTTGAAACCAATGTATCGTTAACAGTTCTGTGTTTTCTTTTGACTTTTTTTATATACAAATGAAACACTAGAATACATATATATAAACACAATTTTTAACTTAAAAAAATAGTTATATTAAAAGAAAGTAATGTACAAACTTTTGAAAACAATGCCATACAGTGACCTATCCTAGGGTGGAAAACAATCTACATATTGTGACATTTTTATTTCAGATTTTAATTACAACAGATAAATAAATGAATCAGATCGTTTAGTAACAGAAATCGGATAAGACACTGAGTATGTCTTTGAAGCTTATAGATAACTTGCTTTAAGCCATTACAATTATTTTAAACCAATCTGTTTTTTATTACTTTATATACAAAGAACAAGTGAATATTCTAAAAACATGTTTCATTAACTTCATTTATAATTAAGAATACAAATATATACTATCTTACTGTATAATAAGGCCGTAATATAAAAAAGAAAAATTCAATTTATTAAAAAAATAATATTAAAGCAACAGTATAACAACATTAATCTTTTGTTTTCTAATAACACTTAATGCAAAATGTTGAAGTTTTGTGTGGTTTTTACGATCTATATATGCATTAAAAGAATACAAATATTATACAAGAATCTCTCTTTTAAATAGTAAATCTGGTGTATACCTAAATTTTATCCTTCTTGGCCGAAGTCTTCCATAAACTTTTTGAGTTTCGTGAGATCTTCGTCGTTGACGGTTGGTTTGGAGGTTGCGATTGATCTCATCATGTCATTCTAGTAAAAAAATGTGAATATAATGATTAAATGTTCAATAAGAGTTTTTAGAAGATATAAAACTTAAAAAACATTGCAAGTTTTAAAAGCCGTAATGCTAGAGCTAGAGCAACAGTTTTAGTAATAAATTGGTATAATACTCGGTCTGCCTTTCTCTTTTCTGAGTTGTCGGCCAAGATAATTCCATAACAAGCTCAAATCAGAATTGACTTAACCTTCCCTGACTTTCCTTTTCCTAGCAAAACAGTTTGACCTTTGATTGCAAGGAATTTTTGTGAATCCATTTTTTAAGCTGTTCTTTTTGGGTTTTGGGGTATAACGATGGATCCCGATTCCATTAACGGTTATGAAATGGCGCAAAAAGTACCTATGTTTTTACAAACCGTATGTGCTCCAAGGGACATCAAACGATCTATACGTTAAAAAGAACCAACCGCAATATCAACCTTCATCTTCTTAAAGTGCCCTCTCAATGGAGGCTGGCTACTACAATTTCAAACTCTTCTGTCTTCAAATTTTCAAAATTTTGTCTTGTCCATTGTACGATTTTTCTTATTCTTTTCCTTCCTCGTCCACTTTTGCTTTTTTCTAATTTTTACTTTGTTGAAAAGTTCTCGTTCCTTGCTGTTCTCTGCAGCACTAACTATACTACGTTGTGTTTTTCTCGCTGATGTTGACATCTAAGTGATATTTTCTATTAACTTTGTTTTCAACGTCATATTTTCTACTTTTTATGGTCGTATCCGTGACGAATATTGGCGATCATCATGATAATCTTTATCTTATCTGCAGCAGCGCGGAAAAGCTGCACAGATGTTGTGTTGAACCAGGTTCTGAAGTTCGTTAACCAGGTTGTTTTTAAATCAATATAAGGTTGAATGTTCGAATAAATGAACTTTGATGGTACACAAGGCAAATATCGAACACAGTAATTAATCAAATCTTGCCCAAGTACTTTCGATCACAAGATCATCCTCAGGGGCATCTGAAATAACCCAAGAAACGTTTTTTTAAAAAAGGAAAATTAATTCACTTTGATAAAAACTCCAAGTTTATAGTTGAAAAAAAGTTTTTTATGTGATTAACGTTTATAGACATACTTCGTCAGTTGTGGCCTATCCAGCAATAACAGAATGTCATAAATGTAAATTGGGACATAACAAATACACTAAACAAAGACAAACAAACACTTTAAATTTAAAAATTGGAGAAGCTACATTATATATAGAAGCCGGAGACAGAATGGCTCCAGCCTGGCGGAGGCGGAAATATTGAGATGACATGTGACAAATGACAGCTTGTGAAGGGCAGTTACAATAGATATGTGATCTGCGCCTTTCAAGATTCTATGAAACTAAGTATTGACCAAAGGTCCAACTGACACCACTATAGGAAATCAACTGAAGAAATATAAAATTATATCTAATATTTTTGTTTTTTTTTTTCAATCTACATAAAATATTAGATATAATTTTATATTTCTTCAGTTGATTTCCTATAGTGGTGTCAGTTGGACCTTTGGTCAATACTTAGTTTCATAGAATCTTGAAAGGCGCAGATCACTTATCTATTGTAACTGCCCTTCACAAGCTGTCATTTGTCACATGTCATCTCAATATTTCCGCCTCCGCCAGGCTGGGAGCCATTCTGTCTCCGGCTTCTATATATAATGTAGCTTCTCCAATTTTTAAATTTTAAAGTGTTTGTTAGTCTTTGTTTAGTGTATTTGTTATGTCCCAATTTACATTTATGACATTCTGTTATTGCTGGATAGGCCACAACTGACGAAGTAAGTCTATAAACGTTAATCGCATAAAAAACTTTTATAATTCAACTATAAACTTGGTGTTTTTATCCAAGTGAATTAATTTTCCTTTTTTAAAAAAACGTTTCTTGGCTTATTTCAGATGCCCCTGAGGATGATCTTGTGATCGAAAGTACTTGGGCAAGATTTGATTAATTACTGTGTTCGATATTTGCCTTGTGTACCATCAAAGTTCAGGATGTTTTTGTTCTTACTGAACTTTGGTTTCCAAATATTTTTCTTTGCAGGATGGCTTGTAGGAGGGCATATCTGGATTAATTTCGCATAATGTGTCAGAAGTATTGTAATTTTAGAGATTTGATGGCGGCCAGTACCTCCGGTTCTTCTTCATTCCTCTGAGAACCTATTCATTTGTGACTCGGTTAGTTAACTGGATCTTGTCTTCTGCACATATCTTCGTTCAAGGTCCAGGGCGCAGCATTCTTACTTTTATAACAAGAGAGAGGTTGTGGCTCTTGAAGAAGGCCCTCATGCGGATGAAGGTGGATCTAGATTTTTCGATGCACGCTCTTATCAAAAGTTTTGTGAGTCCATTTTTAATTTAATATAGTGCCGAGGTAGTTGTAGTGCGTCACTCTTTCTACTGGGGTTTGGTTGACGTAGAGTTGACTTCTGTTATCTTTTTCTTGTTAATTATCAGGAGCTTTGTTGTCTTTACGTTTATATTGAGTCTATATTGTTGACTGTAGTACGTGATTTTGTTCATAAGGACTTGTAGGTAGGGATGCTAACGATAACTATACTTCGATACTATCGAAGTATCGATACCTTAGTAGTTCTGGTATTGATACTTGGAAAAGCGATAATTGCTTTACTGGTATCGTATCGAACGGTTTTGTATCGAACGATTCGATACCTTATTGATAGGCAACAGTTTATCTACGACAAATAGATATGTATAGACATGTGTGCCTCCTATTAACCAATACAATATTAGCAATAGTAATACTTTCTTTTTCTTTTTACTCTCCTTCACTGTACAGTCGTTAGTTACTGTGGTATTTACAGGGATTTTTCTACGGGATTTACTCGTCCATATCGGGGAATCACCGATCTATGATCTTTATATGGACTGTTCTTGGATTATCATAGTGAGTAGTTTCGTCATTTATCAATATATAAGTATCGGTACCGCCCAGTGTTTTTTAGCTCGTGGTGAATTGTAAATTTGGTATATAATACTACCAAAAAGTAACGTGTGGATATATTTTGAAAAAGTTGGACCTAAATCGGCAAAATATAAAATCTTTAAGACGTGAAATATCTCTAATTTAGCAAACATCTCAAATCCAAACATTCGAATATTTCGAATAAATCAGAGAAAGTAAAGGCATCCCACAGGTATGAATTTACTTATTGCTAAAATAATAAACATAAAACTGAAATATTTTTTTCTATTTGTAGTCCATGTAGTGGTCCAATTAAATCTGCGTTTGAAAAAATTCATTCATAGGAAAATAATAACAAGAGAAAATAACAGGAGCCTTGCTATTTTTTATTTGACATGATAATAGGCCAATAAATATAGTAGGTGTAGGTTTTAAGAGACTTTTAAAAGAACATACTCCCTTATACCAAATAAATAGTAAAAAAACACTTAAAAACTAATAGATAATAAGTATGATGTTACTTCAAATATTTATAAGAGAGAATTTTTAAAATTAACTTAGTTTTCTATAACATGTGACATATGGAGTACATCAGGAATGATATGATGTCCCAGTTTTTTAGGTGTAACTGTACACTTTGTAGAAGATCCAAATTTAAGTTCTGTTTCTATTGAAATTCAAGAATTATCAGAACGTCACACCTCTGATTATATATCTATACAACTTCAAGAAATTTTAAATAAATGGAACATTGATTTTGCAAAAGTGGAAACTGGTATTAGATACAGCTGCCAATATTTTAAAGGTAATTCATGATGGTTTTTGAAATAATAAACATATTCCGTGCTTTGCTCATCTTGTAACTTTAGTTGTAGAGCATTCCTTAGATAATGAGGACATGAGGACAAGTGCTTGTTAAAAAAAGTGTGATTAATTGTTAAATAGCAAAAAATAGTGTCATGACAGTGATGGATTAAAAAAACGACAACTGAATAAGGGAATTGCTTGTGAGCTAGTGGCAATTTGAAAAAAAAAAATTATTTTAGACGTAAACACTAGGTGGAACTCGGAGTTTTATATGCTCGAAACTTTTGTGGAACTTTCTTTATTAATTAAGTGAAATATTGTTATGTAAACCCATGCATCAGCGATGTTAACAGCTGTAGAAGTTTTACAAGTTAAAGAAAATATTTGTCCTCTAGACCTTTAGAATACATTACAAGAGGATTTGATCTTGATAAAAATATATTACAATGTCTAAGATAATTCCAATGTTGTGGTGTGTTTCAAATCAGCTAGACATGATTTATTTAGATATACCCACTATAAAACTAAACTCAAAAAGAGGTTTGGCAAAATAGAAAAATATTAATTTTCTAGAGCCACTGACAACTAGCGAAGCAGTTTCATATTTAAGAGAATAAAAACAAGAATACTACGAAACATCAAGTGGGTCAGATTCTGAAACTAACTCTCAAGACAGTAGTTTTGATTTTTGAAACTCCCATAAAAAATGGCACACTCTTCAGCCAGTACAAAACGTAAAAAAAATGGGAAATTATTATGTACTATATGAATTCTGTTTTTCTGTCAAATCCAGTAGCTAATTTATATTCGAACCCTTTAGACCAATGGGAAGAAATGAAAACTTTCTCTCCACTGCTTTAAAAACAAGCCATGAACTGTTTGGTTATAGTTGGGACATCCATACCTTCAGAGTGGTTGTTTTCAAAAGCAGGCTCAAGCCCAAGGATTTGAACCGTTTAATAAACCGTTTGTTAGGGAGTAGGTTAACTAAGCACATATTTTAAAGTTCTATAAACGAAGAGGAGTTTGAATGTTATATGTTTTGTAGTTTTGTAATGTTTTATTTTATATATATTTTTAATTATTAAGACATTAGTTACGACTTTCTGGTTGAATCGGAATCAGCTCGAACGACTGACGAAGTAGAGATACTGAAATAACTTATATCGTTCTATTGATTAGATTCCGAAGTAAGAAGTTTGACTAATTTATGCTCCAATGCAATAATATATGGCTTTTATTTCATCAGAGCAATAGCAAGCTTTTGCTAAAAGCGACTAATATTTACAAATTTTCTACAAATCAGAGGACAGAAAACAAGTTATTTAATTGTTTATTGCTTCGCCACCAAAGCAGGTAGCATCTCTATGCCCTTACCACTGAAAGTGATAAGATTTTGGAGACATTAGTTGTGACTTTTTGGTTTGAATCGGAATCAGCTCGAACGGCTGACGAAGTGGAGAGACTGAAATAACTTAAAGCGTTCTATTGATTCCGATTCAGACGATACTGGTATCGATACTAGCATCCCTGCTTATAGCTCTTCTAGGTTGTCCGCAAATATTATGGCATCATCTGCATATCTGATGTTTAGACGGTACCCGTTTAGTAGAATGCGTTTTTCGTTTTCGTGCAAAGCTTCGACAAATATCCTTTCAGAGTGGAGATGTCTCACACCACGGCTATAATTTTCACGTATTCAGTGTGTTCTTCAACTTCAATTCTTAGATTTGCGGTATGATTCCAGTAAAGGTTTCGAATTATTTTCAGATCTTGGTTGTTCAGATCAGAGTTTCTAATTAAATATTAAGTATTTTAACTATAGTCATTAATACTTATAATCTCTGCTCAGCATCTGAAAATATGACAGTACGTCATATTGTATACTATTTTTCCATTTAATAGCATTTATTTAAAATGAAAATATTACAGACGTTTTAATTATCAATACTATTCCAGTTTACTTTTACTGTTTTTTTACAAAAATAAAAAAAATGGACAAGGATTAACTTACCACTGTAACAGGAGGCTCAGCTAATTTTTCACTTGAGATATCCATCCAAGACATTTCCATTGCTCCCGGATCTCCTGGAGAACATGGAAGCAGCAAATCGTCTACGATGGTGTTGGGATCAAGCGGCGAAGGACCTCTGACCTTTTTGAAATGAGTTGCAGTTTGGACTTTTCGGACGGGTTGCATAAGAGCGTCACGAACTACGATACTTATATCAGCTCCGGAATACCTGAAATATAACACTCTTTTAGTATATTACTTTTTAGAACAAACTTTATTTATTTTAAATTCCTTTATATATATATATATATATATATATATATATATATATATAATATATATATATATATATATATATATATATATAGGGTGAGTCACGCTCAACGGGACGGAGCCTACCGGGGAAACGGCTAAAGATATTAAAAATTTCTTTTGAAGGAATACGTAGGTTAGTACCGGCTACAAATTAAAATTTGTGAGATATATACAGGGTGTCCCAATTTGGCGTAATGATATAAACTTATACTTTTTTAAATAGAACAACATATATTTCACTTTAATTTTGAATTCTACTAAACAAAATAATGTTACTTTATTCAACATTCCCTATACCTATTTTTGACCGGTTTCGATTTATTTGGGTTTTTCTGAAAATGTACTATTCGCGAAATTAATTAATTACACAATATCACATGAATTTTAATTAACGCCTTTTTGTCAGTTAATTGTCAAGTGTCCATGCTTTACATCAGAATAATTACCATTTGAAACTAATCTACAGAGTGTTCGCAATCTGAAGTGTCAATGCTGTACCATATTTTGTATAATTACTTTCTTAACTTAAATGGGACACCCTGTATTTTACTTTAATTTTGAATTCTAATTAAAAAAATAATATTACTTTATTAAACAATCCCTATACCTATCTTTGAGAATTTTCGATTTATTTGCGTTTTTTTGAAAATGCACTATGTATTATTGAAATTAATTTATCACTTTATTACATAAAGTTCTACTCTAACTTAAACAAAAACCCTGTATTTGAATGTTGTAATAATTATTATAATCAAACTATTATAAAATTTTATATTAATATCTAGTATCTTCAAATATATTTGCATTATGTTACCTGGAACATTAAATGTCATTAGTTACATAGCTCGTTATTATAAGGAATGCCATGAAAAAACAAAAGATACCTAGCTGTCAAACTAATTGTCAAACTATTAACTGTATTGCTTTCAATTAAATAGAAGTGGCAGATTATTCAATTGAAGACCGAGTAAATATGATTTTAATACTGGGTGAATGTGATCAAAACAGTTTGTTAGCATCAAGAGTCTATGCTGAGAGATTTCCCTTAAAACGTCATCCTCGTAAAGAAGTATTTGACAGAGTCTTAACAAGGTTTCATGAAACTGGCAGTGTTGTTTATACTAAACGAAAATTAATAAATCCGATAGCTGAAGATGAAAATACCGAATTAGAAGTTATTCAATCAGATATTGAAAATCCAAATACAAGTACAAGGACGATGGTCAGGGAGATTGAAGTAAGCCAAACTATGTGCAGAATTCTTAAAAAATATCAATATCACCCATAACATATTCAAATGCATCAGCATTTGTATGAAACTGATTTTAAACGTAGGTTAGAATTTTGTTTATGGTTTCTAGACAAAACGGGAGCAGATCAACATTTTTTTGATAAAATTTTGTTCACTGATGAATCTACTTTCCATAATAATGGACTCGTGAACCGACATAACTTTCACTATTATAATACGGAAAATCAACATGAATATAGATGTACTGATCGACAAAACCGATGGTCTCTTAATGTATATGGTGGAATAATAGGAGAACATGTGATAGGACGGTATTTTTTTAATGGCCATTTAAATGGACAAAAGTTTTTAAGATTTCTACGAAGAGACTTTTGGATACTTTTGCAAAATATCCCTTTAAATATTAGAAGAACAATGTTTCTGCAGCTAGACGGTGCTTCAGCACATTACACGCGTAACGTTAGAGAATATTTAGACAGAAAATTTCCCGGAAAGTGGATAGGTAGGGGTGGTGCTGTCAATTGGCCCCCTAGATCACCTGGATTAACATCAATGGACTTTTTTTTTGGGGATATATTAAAAGTTTGGTTTATCAAACTCCACCTACAACCGCTGAAAACATGAAAACGCGTATTCGTAATGCTTTTGCAACAGTTACTCCAGAAATGCTAAGAAGAGTAAAACAAAATTTTGAACACAGAGTGAGGTTATGTATTGAAGAAAATGGACATCATTTTGAACATTTAATGTAAATTAATTTTTTTCTAGTGTGTTTTATTTAACTTTATGTTAATAGTGCATTTTCAAAAAAACCCAAATTAATCGAAAATTATAAAGGATAGGTATAGGGATTGTTTAATAAAGTAATATTATTTTTTTAATTAGAATTCAAAATTAAAGTAAAATACAGGGTGTCCCATTTAAGTTAAGAAAGTAATTATACAAAATATGGTACAGCATTGACACTTCAGATTGCGAACACTCTGTAGATTAGTTTCAAATGGTAATTATTCTGATGTAAAGCATGGACACTTAAAAATTAATTGACAAAAAGGCTTTAATTATAATTGATGCGATATTGTGTAATTAATTAATTTCGCGAATAGTACATTTTCAGAAAAACCCAAATAAATCGAAACCGGTCAAAAATAGGTATAGGGAATGTTGAATAAAGTAACATTATTTTGTTCAGTAGAATTCAAAATTAAAGTGAAATATAGGTTATTCCATTTAAAAAAGTATAAGTTTATATCATTACGCCAAATTGGGACACCCTGTATACATCTCACAAATTTTAATTTGTAGCTGGTACTGAGCTACGTATTCCTAAAAAAGGAATTTTTAATATCTTTAGCCATTTACCGGTAGACGTAGACTCCGTCCCGTTGAGCGTGACTCACCCTGTATATATATATATATATATATATATATATATATATATATATAATAAAAAAACCTATCGGGCTACATCACAGAACGTTTTCGGAATAACTATGCCATCATCAGTGCTATCTAGATGTACATGTTTGAAGCCACTAAATATGTGGTCAAAAACTCTTTAGATTTAGTTTGATTAACTTTGAGTTACATCTTTGATATTTACAAACTATGATGTTTAAGTTATAAAAGAAACTGATCACATGGCAACGTAGAACTCCACTGAGGTTGGTAGTCCTTCCACGAAGTGTCTGTGAGGTCTTGTTGATAGCAACAGTTGCTATCAGATGCTATTCCAGATGATCTCGCCAACAGAGGTTTTCGAGATCGCCATGTATTCAGTTTTATCTATATTCATTGTTAGTCCCATCTTTTTCCCTTCTTTGTTAATGATTTGTATAAGAATTAGTAAATCTTCTATATTTTCTGCCATAATTGTATCGTCTACAAATCTTACGTTATTAATTATGTTCCCTCCATCCTTTCACTTTCAGTTCTTTCCCATAGTGCCTTCTGAAATATTAGTTGGGAGTACACAATAAATAATTGTGGCGGCAGCACATATCCCTGTCTGACTCCTCTTTTAATTTCTACTAGGTTTGTTTCACTATCTTCCACCCTTACGACTGCTATTTGATTTTGGTATAGATTTTTGATTAACTTAATATCCTTGGAATCTAGGTATACATGTTTTAACGCATGTATAAGTTTATCATTTTGAACTCTGTCAAACACTTTTTGAAATTGTATATAACATATAAATAAATACGCTTTTATAATATTCCCTGCATTTTTGTAATAGTACCGACATTGCGCATAATGGCTCTCTGGTTCCCATTCCATCTCTAAATCCAAACTGTGTGTTGTCTAATTGTTCTTCACATTTTTATAAATACGCTATTGAATAACTTTGAGTAGTATTTTTAAAGTGTGGCTCATGAGGCTAATTAATCGGTATTCTCTCAATATTTTCGTCATTTAGAATTTTTAATATTTCTACTGGAATTTCATCAGGACCTGGCGCTATACCACTTTTTGAGTTTTTAATTGCCTGTTTCACCTCTCATTAGAATTGGTATTCTATTGAGAGGTGTATCATATATTTTCATTAGTTGGAAATGTTTAATTTATTTCTTCCCTATTATCTGTAAATAAGTACTTGATGTATTTCTCCCAAGTTTGTTGTTTTTTTTTCTTCTGATAACTGGATATCTCCATTGGAGTTTCATATAACTTGTGGTATTCTATTCCGTGTATTACTCATAATTTATTTTAGTTCCTTATGTAGGTTATGTGTGTCGTGTGTGTTTCATATTAAATCTCCTCTATTTCTTTGCAATATTCATCCGTCCAGCGATCTTTAGCTTCTTTGATCTGTGTTTCTGCTAGTTTCTTGAATTGCTTGTATTTTCTTTATTTGTGTTTCTGTTTTGTCGTTTTTCTTCTGTGAGCTTTATAATATCTGGTGTCATCCTTTTTTTGGCAATTGGTTCTTTTCGACCCACAAACGTTTCGCCAGCGTTAGTAACATCATTTTGTTCGTTTTTTCATCTCTCTTACATACATTTTTTTCTTTGATTAATCCAGATTCTTCCTTTGTCTAGACTGTCTTTTTTCAAATAGGCTGAGTGCACCTCAACACTCTTGGTTATTGAACACTCAACAAGTGAAGAAATTGGGCATACCCTACCTTCTTTAATGTCAACAGTCGTGTCGCCAACGACTACTCGTTAAGGTGCGTGTACTACTTAGTCTTATATCTCTACGGTATTGAAAACAAAACAGTTTACTTATTGTTTTAATAGTTCAAATGATTTAAACTTTTTTGAATGTTAAAAAAGACATACCCTTCGGTTTTAGATGCCAACTCCTTAATATCTTCATCTGTTAGCTCTGTATGAGTATTTCCTAAATGCAGTTTAAACATAACAGCTCTGGCAGGTTCTTCTGGTAGAGGGATATAAATTCTCTTCTCAAATCTTCTTCGAATGGCAGAATCCAATACCCAAGGAATATTCGTAGCACCGAGGACAAGGATACCTTCAGTATCGTGGCCCACGCCTAAAAAACGAGAAATTGTATGATCATGTTAAAAATAACAATAATAAAATTTTTAATAACAATAGTATACTAAAGTACCTAAAAAATATGGAAAAAATTCATAATTTTTCAAAAATTTTTCAGGAAAATAACAATAAATATCACAGTTCACAGCAATTTAAGTCCTCAATTTGCCACATAAAACCCAAAAGCCTCGTGTAGATTAAATTAAGTATTGTACAGTACTTCTGTGTAATAAGTATTCTTATCATGATATGTACTTTATCACTTAATTCTTAATTAAAATTTGAATGAGAGAATATAAGTGGTCTTTCCTAGCATTCAGACAGAATATCTTGCTTCTTATGTGGATTCCGCATTCGTGCAAACAGAAGAGATAGACCATTGGCCAATAATTGAATCACTCATAAATAAGTTGCAATATATTCGGTGGATTCATGTAACCTTTTTCTTCTTATCCTCACAGTTTATATATATATATATATATATATATATATATATATATATATATATATATATATATATTATCCATTTTAACGACTAATATCTTATTAGTCATGCTATTATTCATCTTGTTCCGGCATGTTTCTTAAGATTCGTTATTTCATCTCACTCATGTCTTTATATCTCTTTCTTGTATTCTCTTGGTGGAAAATATATTATCTTCTCAATCCATATTTAATTTTTTGTGGAATTAAGAGATCTTATTTAAGTTTTTATAATTGCTCTGTAACATCTTTAACTAGTAATATTATATTAAGGTTGATCTGCACCCCCAAAAGACAAACTCCAAATTTAAAAAATTTGAAAAAAATTGAGAACGTATATGTGATGACTAGAAGTATTTTGACAACTTTTAAGCAAACTTCATGTTTTCGTTTTTGAAAAAACTCAAAAAAACTAGTTTTTTTAAAGTATAAAGCGGGAAAACCAAACATAGGATTTTGTTATTTTTTTTACAGCATCAAGATATACTTATAAGAAATACTTATGAATTTTTTGAAAATTTTTGAATTTACAGTTTTGTCCCAATAGTAAAAAATAATATGTTTCGGCTTATAATAAAGCTACTGGTAAAAAACCGAAGAATTGTTTAATAACAACATATATAAAATTGTAAAAGTAAAAAATATTTGCAATAAAACGTTAAATATTTTTTCCTAAACATATGAAAAATCTTGTTAGACAAAAATTATGTATTAAACTGCCGCTTTCAAATTTTAATGTTGGGAGATGGCTCCATCTGAAGCAGTGGTAGTATTTATCATCGATAGATAGCATTACGTTCGGCTTTGAAAGGCTTCAAACGAAACGTCATACTAACAGGGTTGCCATATCAATTACTTTGTACAACACTTTGGCAGATTATCAAAATTAATAGGAATGTTATCGGTTTGAATTTTGAACTGGTCATGCTGAAACTTACAGAGTTACAGAATAGTAGATACTGAAACTTTTATTTTGAAACTACGATATCATTATCTTGGGAAGAAACTTGGATAATGACGAAAAAAGATGAGGCCCAACTCAGGACATTCGAGAGAAAAATACTGAGGAAAGTATATGGCCCGGTACAAGAGGAAGATGGCACATGGAGAATTAGGAGAAACGACGAGGTTAATGAGTTAAATGAAGGTTATGACATTGTAAGATTTGTGAAAAGTCAAAGACTGTCATGGCTGGGATATGTGCAGAGACAAAACGATGCAAAAACAACAAAGAAAATGTTACAATGGAAGCCCATAGGAAGGCGAAAAAAAGGAAGACCCAGAACGAGATAAATGGATTACGTGGAAGACGACCTGAAAACAATGAACATAAGACAATGGAGAAGAAGGGCACAAGAGAGATCTGAATGGAAGAACATAGCCAGACAGGCAAAGACCCATCCAGGGTTATGATGACAAAAGAAGAAGAATAAGTAATATATCTATAAAAGACCTATTTAGTTTTAAAAACCTATTTAGGCGTTTTTAGTTAATTATTTTAGTATTTATAAACACTAGAGTAGTATACCTTTATATGCTGTAGTCTAATTAATTTTTAATATCTCACTATGCAGTACAAAGTATTATTTTGGAATTTTCATTCGTCGTTGTTCCAAAAACACCATTTTTTAGAACTAAGCAGCATACAAATGTTTGATGAAATTGTTTCAACATAACTTGCAGAACAATAATTAGAAAGTGATCCTCCTTATTCTCAAATAGTAGTCCTTATTAATATACAAGTTTTTCTGAATCTATGTCAGCAAAAAATTGTGTGCCGCCTCAGAACAATCAACCGAAACAATTTTTTTACAGATCCTCCCTATTAAAAAAATGCCTTTCCGTCAAAATTCGTGTATGTCGTTTTGCACAACAACTCATTTTTACCAAACTTTGCACAAAATTCTATAATAATAGTTCATAGTTTAATACAGAGCTAGGATGATTTAGAGAATACTTTATTTTTGGTCATAGTTTTACAATTTTCATATTATATACTTAATAAATATTACCAAGACCTTTAGAATGGATTTTGTCCAGGGCATCTAACAATATGGCTATCACTATAATATCACAAAATTTAAACCAATATTTTTAAATTACTCTTGGAACAAATCAACCGATATAAATAGGCTTTACAGCTCATACAACTTAAATGTTATATTTATGACGTTTTTGTAGCGTAACTGATGTCAGAAAAATACTAATATTTACAATAAATTTTCTGGGAATGAGCTTGAAAGTTTTTTTTATTTCATAAAGTTCGTTGGGAGAGTTATATACTTCCGTTTCTGGTAGATAACTACTATTGCAATTTTCTTAGAGATAGGAACTTTTTTTGGACTGAACTGTTTAATGTCCTAGTACTTAATTGTTATAACGGTTAACTAGAACTAATAAAATTTAAAAAGTGATTCTCACTTGCTATGTTTTTTTTTTAATTTATGAACAAAAGAAACACCTATATTGCCTTTAGTTGTTAAATTGCTCCCCGCCCTATACAACCAAGATTATGAAAGTTTATCTTCTTTTAATTTTATTCAACTTTCACAAAGAAATAATATAGGCATAATAGCCAATTAGTAATACAACTGCCTAAATATTAATTTGTCACATCTAGAGAAATCTGTATTATTATACTCTTTGTATATATCATTTTACCATTTTATAGGAATTTCAGTTATGGTTCTAATGATATAAATATGTGTGTAGGTTTTTAGTTTGTTTTTAAATAATATTAGGTTTAGATTCAAAAAGGAGATCGAATCTGGTCGGTGTTCATATCGCCGTGTAAAATTCACATAAAAAGAGTGGCTTAATTAATTTTAAAATATTCAAAAGTGGTAAGTGATAACAAACGCATATTACAGTTAAAGGGTAAGTTCATACCACCTATTTTTATTATGGTTTTTCAATTATTTACTACTTACTGTTGAAATATCAAGTGTTTCGAAGTCACTAAGAATCGTCTAATAGTTGCTGTACATTCGAAGATAAGTTCAATAAATTAACTGATTTAATTTCTGTTGTCACATAGACTCGCATCGACTTAGGATCGTCTCGAGGTGATGGAACAACCTTCTTAACTAACTCAATGGAGTTTGAGGATTGTATACAAGAACCAAATATTTGTTATCAGTTTCCGCGTTTTTCGTGTATTGGAAAGATTATCAATAGTAATAAACCTAAGCATTAAATATTGAATTTGCAGATAATGATAGTCCATTATTTATGTTGCTCAATAAGATGAGGTTGTTAGGAACTAAATTTTCTAGAATTCAATTGAAGGATGACTTAACTAAATATCAATTAAACTATTTGAATAAAATGCGAGAGGAACTAGAAAAACGTAAACTACTTAACAAGGAACAAACAATAAAGTATATTAATAAAGTTCCAACTATTATTAGTACTAACCAACAAAATGCCGCAAAAAAAACGAATAGAGTTGACAACAATAAATATTTTTTAGACTAAAATTGCATCTTTACATGCTAAGTTTTCTGACTTTTTGTCATTTACATCTTCTAATGCCGATATACATATTTTTGAGATGGAATTCCTCTGAAATCACTACGGGAAGTTAATAATTTTAGTGTTACAATCAACCAAACGTTAAGTTGGTTTACTCAAACAGCAAAAGTAGTTAGTAAAGCGAACTCAACTTTATTATTTATCACAAAAGCTTTTCATAGAATATCTCCAGACTTGTTTTTGAAACTCTACAAAAGTTATGTCAGACCTCACCTAGAATTTGTAGTGTCAGTTTGGTCACCTCATTTGCAAAGAGACATTAATTTATTAGAAGGAGTACAAAGGAGAGCTACTAAGCTACCTATTTATTATGGAACATTAAACTATTAAACCCGATTAAGAAAGCTCAAATTGTCTCCATTAACTCATAGACGAGAAAGATATGATGTCATATCTACTTATAGAATTCTTAGGGGGGATTTTTGGGAAACATCTAACTTTTTTAATATTAACGAAGATGCTAGACTAAAAGGTCATAACTATAAATTGTAAAATGTTTAAAACCACTGTAAGACAAAACTTTTTAGTTAACTGAGTTTTTGATAAATTGAACAGTTTAAGTGATGACATAGTAGAAGCTACTAGTTTAAATAGTTTCAAAAACAAGTATGATGAAAACTAATAAAATATTGTACCTAGTCTTATGTTAACTATATTGTTTGTATTTTTTTTCTTTTATATATACTTTGTAATATTTGTATTTTTGTAATTTGCTATTATTGCAAGAATTTTTGGTAAGTACTAATCCTTTGAAAATTATTTTTATTTTTACTTTGTGAGAAGATTTGATTTATATTATATTATTTAGTTTAGTACATACAAATATTTTGTAATTTGGGCCACATAAGCTCTGCTTTGGCTCGATATCATTATATAATAATAATAATACTCATGTTACTCGTGTTATTCCCAAAAATCACCTAGCGAACATAAAACAGCTGGGTCTAAATAAACATCTTTATAAGGCCATACATAAAGCTGTACTCTTCGCGACGTCCAGATGTGTGTACAAAAATTTTTGGGAGATATTCCACCATACCAAGTCACCTAGGGCTCGATAACACGGAAAGAATCCCACCAGAGCTCAATGCTTTTGATACCGTAGGTATCTGGGATGAGTGAATTTTTCCCTTAGAGGGAGTGTGAGCCGTATTGCTAAATGTGGATAATACTCAAAAGCAAACTTAATTCCAAACACATAGTAAAAGCAATAAACACGCAATAACACCTTTCACATAGTCCTCATTTGGCGTTATAAAATCGTCGAATACGGAAATTGAAGAACTAAATAGACCAAATAGAACCCTAATAACTAAATACGCATCAACCACTCCAAATCATACATCCAACGTATGACTACCACGCACACAAGGCGGGAGAAGAACGGGGTGTTTTGGAAATATCACCCACTACTTAAAAATAAAAAAACAGCAAAAAAGAAACAGACAAAATATATAGAGCAGCAATTAGACCGATGATAGCATACGGAGCGGAAGTAATGTGTCTTACGAAAAAAGATGAAAAAAAAGTAAGAATCATTAAACGAAAAATTGTAAGAATAAACAGACTAATAAAGCCAGAATATAAAAGACTAATGAAGCATGAAATAAGAAATATAAATATAGCCGAAGAGGAAGACATAGTAAAATTAATTAATCCATAAAGACTGTTATTTCTGTTATTTCCCACTAAAATATTACAAAATACATTCATTCAATACAATCATCAAAATGTAATATAATATGATGTACGAATTTAATGGTAATTTACTTAGTTGGTCTACTATACAGTAAAAGTTATAGCATATTTGATAAAATTACTGTCTTCACAACTTGGCAACTCGACCAATGGATATAATGATAGAAAACTGCAATTTATGTTAGGGTTTAAAAATATTACAGTCATCATGTAGAAATCTACAATTAAGTTAAAAAAATTACCAGAGCACCATGCCGCAGTAGAGCCATCTCTAGGATCAGAAACAAATTAATCGAAGGTGAAGATCAACCTTAAACTATCATCTTATATTAAAATAAACATGGAGTCGATAGTAAAGTTCAAGATATGTGTCAAGTAAATGCGCCCAATTAGTGGATCAATTTGGGCATATTCTTTATAAGACTTTATATGACGCACAATCAAGTATAACTTTTATACTTGATTGTGCGTCACCAGAGAAAAAAAAGAGAGAAAGAGAGAGAGAGGGAGAGAAAAAAAGATAGGGAGATAGAGACAGAAAGCTGCAAAGAAAGAGCACAGGCAAGCGTTTGAAATTGCGTAAACTATATTTCTAGTCATCATTCTGTATGTATAAAGTACTTCAAAAAACAGTGTACAATAATAGTTAATAAATAATATATAAAACAGCAGTTGCTGAAACTGAAAAATGATAATTATTGGAGATACTGTTAAAAATATAGGTAGGCACAAATTACTTGAACAGTTCCAAAATCCCAACAATCGAAATAATGTAAAGTATCTCAACGTTTAAGAATTTCAGGGTTTAAGAAAGAGTAACATAATATATATATATATATATATATATAATATATATATATATAATATATATATATAGTATGTAGCTAGTGAACATAGTCGTCAGTCAAAATCAGGGTATGTTTCAAATGTCATGAATTACAAGATATATTTGGGAATATGGACATATATCGAAAACAACCACTCATACCTACAAAATTAATATAATGTGTACACATTTTCATTTATTTATTATTATATATACTAGCGAATTATGCGCAAAGTGTGCAATTAACAAACTTCTGTTACCAAAACTACTGTTAACTACAATAAATTTGTTACATACTTCAACTAGACACTGTATAATACATTACCTTGCATCTGAACCAAAAACTCGGTTTTGATTCTCCTGGCTGACTCTGATTCGTTGTCGGAACGGGATGAGCATAAAGAATCGATTTCATCAATGAATATAATACTAGGTTTGTGGGCTCTGGCCAATTCGAAAAGATTCTTGACTAACTTTTCTGACTCTCCCAACCATTTCGAAACGAGATCGGATGAAGAAACAGAAAAGAATGTTGAATTGTTTGCTTCTGTAGCTACAGCTTTGGCTAAGTACGATTTACCAGTACCAGGAGGCTATAAAAACACACATGTTGTAAGAAATACATTTGTTAAATTTAATATTCTACCAAACATGTTAAACATTATTATTTTTATATACGGCATACGGAACAATATTATTTATTATTTTATATACGTGGACCATTCGTAAAATAAGGTTCTCATGCATTTTAAAAATAGACAGCTTTATTTTTGTTCTTACTGTTATACATCATTTTGAAACTTAAAAATTACGCTATTTTGCTACATAATCGCCGTTTCTATACAAACAATTTTGCAGACAATGCTCCAACTTTTCTATCCCCATGTTATAGAATTCAATTGTCATGCCATTAAGGAATCTAGTAACCTTTTCCTTGACTGACTTACTGAAACGTAAGACACCCAAGTGTTCCTTTAATTTTGGGAATCAGTGATAATCACTTTCTGCTAGGTCCAGACTGTAGGGGGAGGCACAACAGTCAAGTCAAAATCTCTTAGCAGTTGTTCAGTTTGATGTGAGACATGAGGTGAAGCATTGTCATGGAAAAGCCTCACACCACTGGACATGAATTGATGAATGAGATTGAATAAAACTTATTTTTGCAAATCTACTTCTTAAACTGATCGACGTTAAAATTATCCATACTTAGAAAAAATGATTGCAGCTATCAAGATTTCCGATGAAAGGAAACTGATCATTATAAATCATGATACATTATCTCAAAAAAATTATAACTCTTGAGGTAGAATATTTATTCTGAAGGATTTTCTTTTTATAAATTATTTCCTTTAAATCTGTTGCACGTCAAGGATGCTATTTCTATGTCATCACAGTACAACCAACTGCCTATAAATACCCTAACAATAATTTTATGATTATTTTAATTACTTTGATTCATACACCATATTATCAATTAATTAAATTGTATGGAAGAAGTTTAGTATTAAAAAAAAAACAATAATTTACAATAAATAATATCAGCATATATAATAATAAATATCAGTGAAAAAACGGTAAGCCATTTGAACCTTCCTTGACAGCTAGAACTCTTCACTCCCATTTGCATAGTTGATATAAGGTAAGTGCACCAATTTCTGACATCCTCCTAATACCGTACATTTTTTCTAAAAATATGGGAAAATAAGAAAAATGTACACATTTTGACAACGCCGAACCAACGAATTACTTCTTTAGTCGTTTTAAACATGTGGTTAATGAACCTGCTTTCTGTGGGACATTATGTCAGGTACGCCATATGGTTCATTATTGTGATGTTGAGCGAAAGGAAATTCTGTTGTCTTGGCTTGCTGAATATATAAAGAATAGTGATTTCGATTTTCGTCGTTAAGGAGTGAAAATTAAATAATATAAGTAAGTGTATTGTATGTCAATTATAATATACAATTAGGTAAATGAAAGAAAATAGTGTATCATAAATGTAAGGGTAGAACTGGGGTGTCAGCTATTGGTGATATGGATTTATTTAAAAGAGTAAATTTATTAATTTAATATATTTTTAATGATTAACTATTTTCTATTGTCAGTTTTTGAATTCAGGGTCTTGCTCCAATAACTGATACCTTGTCAGGTATTGGCTCCAATGAAATATATATTTTAAGAAAATGTTGGAAAGTTAACTAGAATTCTTTTCAGATTCAAAATGGCTACTGTAAGTAGAAATAAAACTTCTACTTATTCCCAAGAAACCCTACGTGCTGCCTTACAAGAAATCGATAGAGGCATGCCAATCTCTAGAGTTAGTAAACAATTTGCGAGACCTAGGACCACCCTGCTATATAAAAACCAGGAAAATGCTCTAAAGGACGTAGAAAACGTCCACCAACAAATTTGACATCCTTTGAAGTAGAGTCTCTAATACAATGGCTTTTCTATATTGCTGATAGGGGTTTCCTAGCAACTAAGCTGCAACTTATCGATTCCATTGAGATGATTTGCAAATACTAAAAAAGATCAACTAATTTTGTTAATGGGCAACCGGGAAAAGTGGTATTTATTTTTTCTTAAACGAGATCTAGAACTTAGTAACCGAATCTCAAATTCTGGAAGATCCGACAAGAATTTTTAACGCTTATGAATCGGTATTCTTTTAATCACCACATGGTACTAAAGTTTTAGTAAAAAAAAGGAGCAAATACTGTTTACAATTTTACCGCAAACAGTGATGATGTGATGAATGGTGATGTATCAATATCAAAGGATTCCTCAACATGTCACCAATAAAATGCTATTGGATTGGACAATAGGAAAAAGTAAAAGTGGATATATGATTGAGACTGCTATCTATGAATAATTTTCTTTGTTGATGGTCATTCCAGACACTTAGTAATTTTTGCTCGGAAAATGGAATTAAATTCGAGGCTCTCTGTCACAACTCCTCTCATATGTGTCAACCCATGGATGTCGCCGATTTCCGGACATTAAAAAGTTCTTGGAAATTGTTGTTCAACGGTGGAGATTAACCAATAATGGCTGTAAAATAAGAAAGGAAGATTTTGCTTTGATTCTCAAGCAAGCAATTAAAGCTTCAGTTATTACTGAAATAATTACCAATGGTTTTAGAGCAACTGGACTTCGTCCATTTGACCCAAATGCTATCAATTATGATAAATATTTTAAAACAGTTCAGTCAAAGGCACACGAACGGGAAGCATTTAGAGTTCCCGAGTTTTTGAAATATTCAGATTGTTTAGTTTTTAATAATATTTCACAACTAGTTAAACAATTTTTGCATTAATAAAATGTGTTAGTTATTGGGTTGTCTATTGGGTACATCCAAGTTAGTCATTGTCAGATACTGGTACTTCTGAACCATTATTAAATATCTTCCATAACAATTAAAAATCGAAGCAATATTAAAAAATTACTAGATTTTGTAATATTTTACATACCGATTAAAGAAAATAATGACTAGTTACTTCAAACACGTTAATGTAAATAGCAAGACTCCATCTTTTTTCCCTTAAAATATTAGGTACTGGTTCCACTAACATATGTATTTTTATTAATATCAAAAAGTTTTTTGGAATATAAACAACCCTAAAAGACTCTCAATAAGCAATTATTCACTATATTTCTATCAACAAAATACCAAAACACTTAATTCTCGCTTTGGGTATTATTAGTATTTGATGAATTATATGCATTTATTTTAAAATACATTTAACTATAATTTTTCTAAGATCACACTTTTTGAACTTTTTATTTGTTTTGTAGTTGACATGACATGTATTATAAATTTGATCAAAATTTAAAAAAAAATTCGTGGATCATTAATTGGCTTAAAAATATCTATCACAGTAGGTTAATCTTTAGTATATCAAATAAAATAATAGTATTGACCTTGGACGACACATTGCATTATCTACTTAAGTCATAAAAAATAAAATGTTGGAATTTTGAACCATAATTCACTTTTAACTCTTACATACAATATATGCTAAAATAAGAAAAATTTTAGCTAAAATAAGACATGTTTTTAAACGTAATTTTATGGATTTAAAATTAATAAACCAATATTTAAACATAATCTTTTTGTTTCTTTGACGGCATTGTTTTTATAAGTTACATATTGGAATAAATATACAACGTTTCATGAATTCTATTATCACTCTCAGAAAAACTCAAAAAAGAAAAAGTTATTTATTAAACTGTCGTATTAAAAAAAGGGAGCTGCTTTTAGACCACTAGAAATGAAGAACCAAAATCCAAAATTACATAGATTAGGCTTATTAATCTTAAAGAAGATCTGTTGGCAGAAGGCAGAACTCATGGTTAAAGAATCTAAGTGATTGGTATCAATGCAGATCGATTGATTTGTTTAGAGCAGCAAGTTCTAAAAAGAAGAATAGCCATTATGATTGCCAACCTCCGTAGGGAGACGACACTCTAAGAAGAAGGCTTATTAATAATGCAATAAAAAATTAGAATAATACAAGATAATAATCTAACTATCTAATGCATACATATCAGTCTTGATGTTTTAAAAGTCACTTGTAATGAATATTAATACTACCACAACATAGTAAGTATTAGGTGTAACATTTAGTTTAGTTGCAATATCAAAATTACATTTAGACAGGTGGTTTTGTCGAAAAAGGTCGATTTCATAGCCACAAACTGAAACTTGTTGTAATTGATAGATTATAATGCGAATATGTCTAAAGTCTACTAAAAAAATTGCCCATTGCAACTTATTTAGTTATAACAAATTTTTAAACAAATTATAAAAATTGCTTTTTTCGCTTGAAAACCACTTTTTTAATAATTTGGGTTATTTTAAGTTGAAAGAAATTTTTGTGATTTTTCTTAAATACTTATTTTAAACATAAACTGCAAATCCTCCTCCTCTAACCTTTATCCTTAATAAGGATGTGGTGACGTTATGGTATTTGACGGTAAATGGTTGCTATCCATTCTTCTCTCTCTCCAGCGCACGGTGTCCTGCCTCAGACAGAGAATAACCGGTAGGGCAGTATATTTCATCAGAGTGGCGATCTTCCTCGAGTTCTTTTACCATCTACCTTGCTTTCAACCACCAACCTCTCCATGCCTTCCATTCGTCTGGTAATGTGTCCAAAGTACCTTTGGACACATTACAAAATATTGAGATATTTGTGCGATGTGCTGTCCAGGGTATGAGCATCATTCTGCAATATACCCACATTTCAAAGACCATTATATGTTGTTTCGTGTTCCTGGTTATGTCTGTATCTTTCCAGATTTTAGTAAGTTTGACTATTGCTGATCTAGCCATTGTAAATCGTCTATGTATCTCTTCTTCGCATCCACCATTGTTTGTGATAACAGAACCTAAGTAATTGAAAGGGCTTACCACTTCAAACCCCTCTAAGTTTTGTATTTCCGACTGGTTATTTCTAATTCAATCGATTATCATTACCTTGGTCTTCTGAACATTAATTTTAAGTCTATATTCACGACTAATAGTATCTAGTCTGTTCATGATGTAATCAAAGTCATTTGTTGATGATGCTAGTACAAAAGTGTCGTCAGCATAGCGGAGGTTGTTGCGCAAATTTGTGCAAACTGCAAATAAACAATTTAAAATGACAAAAAAAACCACCAGTTTCAGCGGTTTTCAAGGCAATTTTTCAATGGGTTGTACATCGATTATAAAAAAACAAAATCTATGAGATGAAAGTTTAAGTCAAGTAGTTTTAAAATATGCAATTCCATATTGATTTTATATTGGAAAATCTCAGTTTAAAATATACCTAAACAAATTGATATAGTTGTGTTTCAGGATATATAGACTTTATGAATGTCTCAACTGGAACATTCGAAACACATTGATTATTTCTTACCCACAAGCTGATCTTATTTTAATTGAAAGAATATGATGCTACTCCATTACAGTAAAAAGTTTACCCAAAGTTTACCACGGGAACCTGCTTATTTATAACAATATTTCAATAAATAAAAAAATTCTTTTTTATTTGAAACCAATTTATTCTTTCATCTATAATAAGCAGATAATAAGAAGAATAACTTTGATCTTAAAATACCCCAAATTATTTAAAAAAAAAGTGATTCTGAACGGAAAAAAAGCAATTTTTTTTAAATAAATAGGTTGTAATTTTTTGGTAAACTTTTAAATATAGCATACTGGAATTATAATCTATCAATTAAAATAGCCATAACTATTCAATTTCATTGTGATAAAAAAATATAGGTCACCAGGATAAACACAATGACCAAAAATGTCAAAAGGAATAAAAAGAAAAAAAATATATGTACATTCTAGAAATGACATGAAAATGAATGGACAAAAAATTTCACATACATATGCATCAATTTGCTTATCATTAAATGTCAAACAAATTTGAAAGTAAAAGTTTATTTTATAACAAATGAACTTTGACATCAACTGTCAATACCATCACTATATTATCTGTGGTACTAATAATTATATTATTGTATGTTATTTTTTATGATATTTTAAAATGATTTAGTCATTTCAGTTTAAAGCATATGCAAATATGAAAATTTTTATAAAATAGAACATCTTAGCTAGCCTACAACAAAAAAAACCCAAAGGAGGAACAAAGTAATATATTAACATTGGTTTTAACTAAATCTACATACTTGGTACACAGTTGGTTGGTAGCACTTAAGTTGGAAATTGAAACATCAAATATAAAATATTTTAATTATAATTGTGGTTTTATTCAAAAAAAAAAGATAATAGATATGTATAAAGATTGAAGGAGTGATAGTATCACACCTGGAACTACTGTAATAAATAAAATAATTAATGAGTATTAAAATGTAATTAATCATGATTTTGAAGATGATACCCATGTCTATGCCTGTTATCACATACATATAAACTGCTTAGTAAAATAATTACCAACACTATCAAATAAGTTCGATAGTTACAAGCCTGTTAAATAGTGGCATTTACGAAAAGGTTATAGAACACCTATAGATAATATGAAAACTTATGGAAAAGTGTAACAAATACAATGAACCTCTTCATTTGGAATTTGTGGATTATGTTAAGCCATTTGATTCCATAGAACTTTGGGCTGTATTTGAAGGAACAAATAAAGGAAGAATTGATTCCTGATATACAATACTGCTAAAATACATATATGACAATGCAAATATGCAAATAAATGTAGCAAACAGACTAACAATAAGCAAAATAATAACAGAAAGAATAGGTAGGCAGGGAGACACTATCTCTCCAAAATTATTTACTCTTGCATTAGAGGCTGTGTTCTAAGAAGTTAAATTGGAAACAATACAGAATTAAAATCAATGGCAGACTTTGAAGTCATCTAAGATTTGCCAATGACATATTATGCACTCATAAGTAACAATACAGAGGAACTACTCTACATTCTAAAGAAGCTTAAACAAGAATCTACAAAAATCAGTTAAAAGATGAATTTAAGTAAAACAAAAGTAATGTCAAATCAAAATACCACAATAGACTTGGAAGTGAGATCAAAAATGTTGAAGAATATAATATACCAAGATCACATGATCAAACTAGGTAAACAACAAAAACAGCAGAGATAACTAAAAAATCTTAAGAACTAAAAGAAAAGGGTATTAAATAGTAGTTGTATTCTACCAGTTTTAACCTATGGAATGAAGACAAAGATAGTAAGTTATCAACCAATAGATTAAGAACAACACAGGGCCATCAAAGCAGTTTGTTTTCTCTGAGATAACATATACAAAATGGGGATGTGACAAGCATGACAAAGTAATTTGAAGAATTGCACAAATGAAATGGAGTTGTGTAATGTATTAGGCATGACATAACAACAAAAGATGGACAAGAAACATTGTACATTGGAGACCATGTGTAGAAAATTAATTGTATTTTCTACATTAGTTTGTTTAATAAATAAAAAATAATAATTATCTTTAACTAAATTAAAGACCTACGATCAGCATGACATGTTTTCTTCCTGCTGTATCATATCGTCTGTGCCTTTTACTGTTTTTACCCATTTCTTTGGTGAAATTAAGTATTTTAATATAGTAGAAATAAATTTGAAATGATTGAGTTTTCACCCATCATGGTTTTTCTAAGACCAGTGCATTTTTCCATTCTTCTAGTAATCAATTTTATTCCAATTTAAGTAATAACACTTGTGTATGAATTGTATAGCTTACCCCAAATAACAAAATCCCTTTCCAAGGTACTCTCTTTCCACTAAACAAATGGGGAAACCTAATAGGTAATATAACAGCTTCTTTCAAAGCTTCCTTGGCAGCTTCCAGCCCTGCCACATCACTCCATTTGACATGTGGTTTTTCTACAACTATGGCTCCTTCCAGCTTACTTTGCAACTTCTTTTTGTCAGGATCTTCATCATCTTCATCACTATCACTCTTTTTGTCTTCCCTTTGTAATAAAATAATAAATTTAAGCATTAAAACATGTTTAAAATATTTAAATAAAAATATAATTAAAGTGAGCTGTGATTTGTAAAACAATTATATGAATTAGAATCATCATAAATATAAGATTATAATTATATAATGTATTTACAACTACTACTCGTTATCACAAAAATATAATATGTACACCTTTTATTATGTTTTGTTCTACTAAGAATGAAGAAATAAAATACATTTATACTCATACTTAGAAGTTGTCATCCTTTTACAAAAACTGTATTTTATTTAGTTTAAGATCAATGAAAACAATAAAAAAAAGTTCAGAAGGAATTGTACATATACAGATGTATATAACCAAATGAAAATTAAAAATCTGAATGGCTTCATTACTATAGAATATACAAATGTTTTTAATCAGATTGTCATAACAGATCCAATATGAAATAGTTATAATATATTTAAAAACAGCTACAAGGCAAATTAAACTATTGTGGAGATATAATATTTCTTAACATACTGATAATAAGAATAAAATGAATAAGTGACAATTTGAGAAACATCTTCGTTTTAATGTCTGGCAAAGACAAGCAATATTTGACTTAAAAAAGGCTCAGAAACTGTATAAATATTGGAATGAAAACTTACAAAATATCAGTATTAGAAATATTTGTAAATACTAGATTAAAGCAATTCTTACTTTGATGAACCTCCATCTAAAACTGGCTTCTTCTTCCCTTTCCTTATAGATTCTTTAATTTTTTCAGCCCTTTCTAGATACTGTACACATTTGGCTCTAATACTCTCCTTAGCTTTGTCACCCTGAGCTTCATCTAAAGAAAAGAATAAAATAAGTTAATTTATATAATAGAAGATACTGAAAAATTTGCATTATTTATTTGCGCAAAATACATGTTCATTACTCATCAATACCCTTGAAGGCATGTCACTGTATATAATCAAAACAAATTTTAGGTACTTACATTTAATGGCATGTAGAAAGTACTCTACTCCATGTTCATACAGACGAAGGGCTTCTTCATAATTCTTGTTTCTGTCTTCTTCGGTGGCTTTGGTGACTAATTCAATGGCTTTTTGCAAAGTAGTTCCAGTTGCCATTTGTAATAAAAATATAACACTACAAAGTTAAAAAATAAACTATCTTTTATCAATATAAAACACTTCCTACAAATTTATAAGCGTTTAACTGTAAGTATAGAGCTCAAATTTATGTCTCCAGTCAAAAATACATCTTTTAAATAAATACTTTATATGGAATATTGTAATTTCTAAGAATAATTTTAGAATCACACCTAAAAATTACACTTTTGACATTGGCATAATTCTTTTGGCAGTTTTGACACTTCAAACGTTAAAAAATCAATGGTACCAACATGACAAGTTCAATCGTATGAACTTTTACAGGGTTGCAAGATTTTCGTCAGATTTATTTCGAACACTTATAGGCGGGTATATATACAGAATTGATAGGGGTTTTGGGAAATTACTTAATCAATAAGAAACAATAATTTTTGTTAATCTGTATTTAAATGCAGCTACTATTATTACAATATAATACTTATATATTACAAAACTTATTAAGTGGGGAGGTTGCTTGTCCAATCATGCTCCTTGCCTACTAAATTGGCTTCCTATTCTCCTCCATTCATCCCTGCTTGTTGTTCTTTCTTCCTAACTCAATTCCCTGTAGATCTTCCTGTAAGCTATCAAATTATCTTTGTCTGGGTCGGCCTTTCCTTATTTTCGTGGTTGGGCCTCGTTTTAGAATTATCTTTGGCATCCTCTTCCTTTCCATTCCTATAACGTGTCCCATTGATCCCACTCTCTGTACCTTTATAAAGCGAGTCATGCTTAGTTCGTTATACAGTTCCCCTAGCTCCTGCTCCTTGTTTGTTTATCGTATACTTCGACACTTTTCATGGTTTATTTCCTGTATATATATATATATATATATATATATATATATATATATTATATATATATATATATATATATATTATACATATAACGTTTCGAAAGGTTTACAGGAATTAATATTACAATCAAGTCTTCTGGGTTGATTACCATTGCGCCGAGATTTCGACATTATATATAATATAGTCGATAGTCTCATTTTACAGAAGAAGAAAGTGTTGTTTTTCATTTCAAAGGAGGTTACTTATCAGATCACCTAGTATACTGTTTAAAGAATCTCACTCTCATAAAATTCCTTTTAATATTTAGCGTCGCAATCAAATATATTTATAGCAACAGGTGCCCAGGTATTGACGGCATTTCTACAGACTTTTCAAACTCGAAGGTAATATCCTTATAGATCAAATTTATAGCATCACAGTCAAAGTCTCCAAACGGATAAGTGGAAGAACTGCTTGATAAATGCCAAAGTTGTTTTAGAATGGACAGGTTTCTATAAATAGGACTAGGTCTATAAATAGGTCTAACCGATTAATTGACAAAAACAATAAACCTACTAATAAAAAAATTAAAATAAAACATATATAAATAAAATATTGAAGATATTTTCCTAGACACAAGAAAGTAACCAACACAAATTGATAGCGAGGAAGCTCTGGTAGAGCCCCTGGGCCATATACAAATCTGCTGAGATATCTACAGAATGGCTATTATCGACTTTTTTTTCAGCTACCAAAAAGCAAGAACCACAAACACCTGTAATGATTATAGATTAATCAGCTTAATGTCGCAATTATTGAAAACATTTTTAAAGGTTGTAGGTATATGCAATAATATTCAGAAAGTGTGAAGCGGATATGAGTAATAGACAGTTTGGCTTTCGTAATGGCTTCGGAACAGTAGAAGCTGTTTAATTTCACAACTCTTACTCAAAAATGTCGAGAGCAACAAAAAGATCTTTATCGCGTATATAGACTATGAGAAAGCTTTCAACAAAGTTAAACATAACATTCTCATGGAATATCTAAAGCGAAAAGGACTGAATAAAAATGATCTTAACATAGTGAGAAATCTCTATTGGAAACAACAGGCTTTGGTAACAGTAGATGGAAATAGCACAGATGCGCAACAAATAAGTGCAGGAGTGAGAAATTTTTACTCACATATATATTCCGAAGAGTTATTTACACAAGCACTTAACAGTCAATAGAAAACTAAAAGAAAACCAATGCCAAGATAGGAATTTGCTAGGATTGCTAGATTTCAAGGAAACGTATTGATTTTACTGATCCATGGATCCACCACTGATCCACGTAATCTCGGTTAAGCTGTAATTTAATTAAACATCATCAAATGGAAAAGGTTTATCAAATACTTAATGAACGATATCCGCAGTGTTTACTTCGACGAAACAACAGCCTATTAAGATGAAGTTGTTATGGTTTGAGGAAGGTTATCATCAGATATTCATATCTTTCATTTTTTTGTAAAGATGTTGAATAACAGCTTTGACGTATACTTGTATACTTTTATATATTAGTAAAATACCATTTTTACCCCCTATTAAGACGAACATGCAGAAGCGTCTTGCAAATACTGGCAGGACGGTAAATAAATAATAAAAATATTACTCGTTTCATACATATTTATGTGTGTTATGTGTCTAACTACATTAAAGAACAAGTTATTGGAAACGATAAATTTCAGAATAGCGGCGAAAAAAATTGTTTTTATTTATGCGAAGAAAAGTAAGGCTATCGAAGAATAGTTCATTATTCAAATTTTAAAATTGTGCATCATATTGTAGTAATATATTATAGAATTTTAAAGAATTAAATCAATGCATGAGTTCATTCTGTTCGATAAGGAGCTTTTAAAATATAATTAATATCAATGTATGAGTCGGTAAATTTTTACTGTATGCCTTTATAATCGTCATGACTTTATAATGCTGTATGTATGACTTGTCGTTTTATAGGTATTTTGACAGAAATAAATAAGTTTTTGATGCATCTTTAAGCTAATCTATAGGCTATTATATATATTTTTATCAAATAGCTCATACAAAAGAATAATGTTACGCCCATGACTAATGTCTAGAATGAGACAGGCGTCTATTTCTGACAATGACGTTGTTCTTTGGTTCTGTGGTATTGGAGAATGTTGATATTTGATGCTTCTGAGTTTTAATTTCCTTATTAAAAATTTACAATTTTACCAGGATGATAAGCGTGAGATATACAAGGAATTTATTTTTGAGATGTTTGTGTGTTATTTATTTAGCAGCGTTTTTGTCGTTTTACGTACAAATACCTGGTAAGTAAAAATAAATAATTTTATCTACCACTACCAAAAAAGCCGAATTACTGATGTGTATCCTGTCTTCGTTTCACACCTAACTGTTTTTTAACTATTACGGCCATTCACCTCATGTGAGGCCTTTTGTAACTTAGAATTAGGTACTACTTTGCAACTTTTAAAATAGAATCATGCTAATTTATTTTTTTATATTGATAAAAATGTTGGAAGGAAATGTTGGTACATATAGGAAGGAAAATATTAAATTCTAAATGAAAAATTCGCAGAAATACTTTTTTTTAAATGATTTCTGTAAGTTCTATATATTATACAATCGGGAATATATTTATTCTCTGTCATATTCTGTAATGTTGCAAATTCTATTATCAAAATACTTACATTAATGTTAATCTAATGTAATATTGCTATGGAATATAGGAATATAACTTATTTGGAATAATACTTACAATTTGTGGATAGTAGGTTATAACAGTGGATACCACAGCATATAATAAATACAGTGTAAATGGCACTAAAATTGTGGAGATGACTACAAGCATCAATATTCAGAAAACCAATATCTTAACTATTGTTAACAAAATAACAAATTGATATCACAGAAATAACAAAAGGTACAATTGGGGCAAAATAATTACAAAATGTGTCAATCATATTATCTTTTGGTATAGAAATATTTTTATATGAAAAATATACCTACTTTAGGAAGAAACACATCAAAAATGTATAGCATTTTTTGTTACTGTTGGCAATTATCAATAATATACAAAAGTGTTCTTGGCATGGTCATATCCAGCAAATGTTACAATATAGCATTGCAAGAAACAAACTAGTTCTTATAATGCTGTCAACAATTAGGATGATTTGTACCTTATCAGCTGTTGTCCAAAATCATTGAATATGTATTCAAATAATTGTCTTAAATTATGCAGAAGTTGTATTATTGATGAACCTATTATGTGTTACCATTTGAGTTTTCCTTGGACTTTAAAGTTGCAATAGAATAAATTTTGGACTTTATCATATAGACTATATATTGCAATTTTCTTTATTATTCTGCTATGGATAAATTGTCTTCTCTATATTTAAGTTTGTTTATATAGTTTTCTGTACCATAAAAATGTTTGATTTAATACAATCTATTGTTTGAACTTGCTATGGTTTTGTAACTTTGGATATTCATAGTTTGTAACTTTTTAGCATGAGTTAAAGTTTTGAATCTTAAGGATCTGATTTGTTTATTCATACAGAGATTCTTGTGATTCTTGATTTATTACTACTAGGTATCCTAGATTAGTATGTGTTTCTTGACAGTCTTATAATATAATAGTACTGTGGTCTGCTAGTAAACTTTTTTATTTTGATATATTGATTAAGTGTTTAGTTGGAACAAATAGATATCAGGCAATTAATGTGTCCATACTATCATTTGACTGTTTAACCATGTGATATTAAGGCTCTTATGAAAGACCAAGAGGAACCTATGTATCAAGTTTCAGTTTTCCAAGAAAAAAGACATGAATATGTGAAAAAACCCAATTGACCCAAAATTCAATGGTGTTGTTCTTCCTTACACTAATAGCAACATACAGACATCCCAATATCACTTTAGCCTTAATATGTGCAAATCAAGAAGAAAGAGCATGGCAACAAAGATAGACAAGATTGTCTCACAGCTAAGAGAAAAAAGTCTCTCTTTCATCCTGGCCCATCAATAACCACTGTGGATTTGGGCATGCACTATCTACAATGTGTTGCAAGATATAGTAAAAAATCATCTTATGTTGCAGGCATATACATCTTATGGTGTATCAACTGGGAAAGGTAGGGTGGTCCCAAATAAACTATGACCATTTGTAGATGTTTAAATCTGGTCCTTTTAGATACAGATAGTTAATAGGACAATTCAACAAAAAAGTATATGAAAAACCAAATAAACAAGAATAACAATTATTATTATTCCAATTGTGAATCATTCATAATAGAAATTTAATATTGACCCAACAAAAACACCATTATCTTTGAAATAAGAAATTGTCAGGTAATGACTTTTCATCATACAACAATATGTTCAGGAAAGGGTTTATAGGTTATCAAGAATAAAATTGAAATTACAATCCCTTGTGGTACCATAATTGACAAAAAAGTTATTGTTAAATTACCAACAATTAAAAAGTAGGAAGGGGGTAGATAGTATGATCCCAAAGAGCAGATGGAGTAACAAAATTTATATTATTTGTTGTGTAAACTTTAGTTTGGCTTTAAAGTTAATCTGATCTGGACATGTTTTTTGATAAAAAGTTCTAGTTAGTGAAGCTTTCTTTCAAAATAATTTCTGAGAATCAGAAAGTCCACAAAGAAAAATATAGTCATCTTTCTTTTGATGTGATGGAAATAGTTATAAATGTTTATCCTGGTAATTATAATTGTTTTCAAAAAATATTAGTATAAAAATATTTTAGATGTTGATAATGAGTTTATTAACAGGGCTAAAAAAGGAATTTCCTTCGTCTGAAGCTGAAACTGTTTTTTGACAAAGGTATCACAGACAACTGTATAGATAATTATTAAGGAAGGGACAGAGGCTAGAAAGATGTGAAAGATTCTAGATCATCTCATTCCATTTCACTATTTCTTTTAGAACTGATTAGAGAAACCATCTATAATATATTTGCTGTAAATAATTTACCTATTTTAAATAAATTATTTTTATGTTTAAAAGAAAAAATGATATTAGCAAGACTAAAAAAACACTGTATGGAGATTTTAAAAAGCCAATGCCAAGCCAAGCCAGTATTGTTAAGATGGCAGGAATATTTATTTTCTAGATAAGACATGGTTAGACTCTCACAGATATTTGTGGATGCTATAGAATTGATAAAAAATATTGTGACAACTTCAATGACCACACAATAATCAGATCATTCTGTTTCAAAATTTATTTAAGAAACAGTACAATATTCAACCTGGTATTTTTGAACTCTTTCAAAACATTCCATGTCTTTATGTACTTTTCTTAACACTTCTTCATTAGATACATTGCCCTGGATTATCCTTATGTATATATATATATATATAATATATATATATATATATATATATATATATATATATTTACCAGCTTCAATAACAGTCAACACATATTTGGAGTGGGATTTATTGTAAATCAAAGAACAAAAGGCCTTATTATTGACTTTGAACCCTAGAGTTAAATAATGTTGCGCTTAAAAGGGAAATTCTTCAATTACACTTTGATCAATGTATATGTCCCGACTAATGACAAAGCAGAAGAAATAAAATAACAGTTTTTCAAAGACCTAGAGCAAGAGTGCTCAGATTTGTAGTATCTGCAATCTATCACAAAATATTTTAAAGACAAGCAATCAATTACTGACTACTACAACTAGACTGGAGCTTAGCTACTAAAATATGTAAATTTCTGAAAACACTTTATAAATGATTTGTAAAACGTTGTGTAATTACTAAGTGCCAACCATAAGTCTGATGTGAGATATTTGTTGTACTCATTTGGTGTTTTAAATATTGCTATACTTCTTCAACTTTTACTTGTCATAATTTAATAAAGACTGACATAATGCTCTGTTACCGCAGCTTGTTCATCAGGATCTGAATATTTTGCGATTGACTCCAAAATCTATCATGATAAACTGTTTGGGCACTTCTGACCTAGAGTATGCCTATAGAAGATGTCCTAGAAAGGCATTAAAATAGTGTTAGGTGACATGAATGCACGAAAAGGACGAGAGTGAGTTTTCATCCCCAGTGTACGAAGGCATTGCCAATACAATATCTGTAGCGATAATGGATGATGACTGATAAAGTTAGCAGCAGCATTAAACATAATAGTCACTAGCACCTATTTCGAACACAAGAATATAGACAAGGTAACCTGGACCTCTCCTGATAAAAGGGCAATGAGTCAGTTGATCACATCTTAATAGACTCAAGACATTATAGAACAGATGTAATTAACAGCAGAAGTTATAGAGATGCAAAAATAGACTCAGATCATTGCCAAGTGATCTCAACATTGACTGCTAGAATTTAAAAAGTCAGCAAAGAAAATAAAATTGATAAGAAGAAATAGAATATGCAAAAGTTGAGAGATGTAACAGTTGTAGAACAGTACTCAGAAAACGTCACTTGAAGCAGCAGCAAAAGATGAAATAGGAACAGAAACTTGTGACTGTAAAAATTATTGGTTTGATGATGAATGCAACAAAAGAAAGAAATGAAGCCTGCAGAAAAATGCTTACCTGACAAACTAGAACAACTGTAGTTAACTATCAGACAAAGAGAAGAGAAAAGAGGATACACAAAAGACTAAACCACTTAAATAAAGAACTTAATTTATAGAAAACCTTAACAGAGAGAAATTAATCATTTAGAGCATTCTATTAACAACAAGGAAAGATGTAATAAATCAATGGGTGGAATACTTTGACTGGGTACTTAATATAGAGGAAGAAGAAAACCTGGAAAACGAAATAAATCAGGTAAGTGGAACAGACAAGAGGGAAGAGGAACCACCAATGATTCTTGAAGTTGAAAGATGCAGTTAAAAAACTAGCCAGAAACAGGTCACTTATATTCTATAGTTGCGACACTAAATACCACGCACTAGGTACTGGCTTCATTGTAAATAAAAACGTTAAACACCTCATAAGAGACTTTCGTGCTATGAACTCTAGAATGTGCATCCTGAGACTAAGGGGAACATTTTTTAATTATAGCATCTTAAATGTGCATGCCCCTACAGAGGAAAAGGAAGACGATGTCAAGGAAAGATTCTATGAAGAACTAGAAGCTGCATACCATTCATGCCCAAAGAATCACATCAAAATTATTTATGGTGATCTCAACGCAAAAATAGGAAAAAAGCAACAATAGCTACCAACTATGGGTAAGCACAGCCTTCATGAGGTATCCAATGACAATGGCATCAGACTAATAAATCTAGCAACTTCCCTTAACATGGTCATTGCCAGCACATGCTTCCAGCGAAAAAATATTCATAAAGGAACGTGGAGATCTCCAGATGGGGTCACAGTAAACATGATCGATCATGTTATTATTGGCTCTAGACATCACTCAGATGTAATAAACATATGCAGCAGAAGAGGGGCAAATGCAGACTCGGATCACTACCTAGTGTAAAGTAGAATAAGAGCCAGAATCTCAAAAATTAAAAAAGAAAAAGGATCCAAAATATGAAATAAAAACGTTGCAGACAACAGCATTAATGCAAAATACAAAGAATATATAAAAGGAAGGCTAGAAAATAGACACAAGCACAAGGATATAAACAGAGAATGGGAAGCATGTAATAACATCATATAAGAGGTGGCCAAAGAGACTCTGGGTCTACAAAAAAAGCCCAAATCAACTGAAGGACAGTGGTTCGATGAAGAGTGTCGTAATCTAACAGAGAGAAAAAATAATGCATATCAAAGACTACAACAACGACATAGAACACGAAAGGCAGAGGAAGAATATATAATGCTAAGGAGGGAAGAGAAGAAAATACATCGCAGAAAGAAAAGAGAACACACAAAAAGAACTCCAAGAAATGGAAGAACTAAATAAACCATCAGAAAACAGAAAATTCTACTAAAAACTTAACAAAAGCAGAAAATAATTTAAACCAAGAACAATGATGTGTAGAGACAGAGAAGGAGATATAGAACTCAACAGAGTGAAATACTACAAAGATGGACAGAATTTTTCAAAGAAAAGTTTGAAAAAAATGAAGATCCACTATATGATGGACTTATATTGGATCAAATAGATACCATAGAAACAACCCCCCTTCAGTAGCTGAAATGCAAGAAACATTTACCAGACTGAAAAACAACAAGTCATCTGGATTAGACAACATTAACGCAGAATTAATAACGGAAGATCAAGCTACTGATGATGATGAGAAACAGATCACCTGTAATAAATAACCTCCCAGCTGAACTATTTTTATAAAGAAGGTGGCCACGATACCATAATGGTACTACAACACCTCATAAAAGAAATATTGGACACAGAAATTCTTCCCCACTGATTGGAATACTTTGCTCCATACCATACCAGTCTTAACATATGGTTTAGAGACCTGGATTCTAACAAAAAGTAAAAGACTGACTTAGTGCTCAGTGGAGTAAGGCAATGAATAAGAATTCTTGGGGAGACTATGACTCACACAGGGTTGTAAAGGCAGAGTGATGATGACTATGTATCTACATTTTAAAAGTTATACAATTGTTTGTGGATTGCATCTGTAATGGTCCATGTTTCTACATCTTAGAGAGACATTGGAAAAGCTTAACTTCTTAAGTTTCTGAAATTTTTTTAGGGACTGTCTTGGTTTTTCTGTTCTACATCTAATACATGTATCTGCTTTCAATTATTTTGTTATTAAATATTATATTTTCATTTTTAATATACAGTAATTACTATTTTTGACCACTCTACCCAATTTGTTAGTATTTACTATTATATTTTGGCATTTTAGCATTTTTTCATTTGTAGGTCTGTATGGAGACAATGGAGTCTTACCAGCTAGATCTGTATTGGAAAACAGTAAGCATAAAACATTATCAGCAAAAGTTCATTATCAACCTACTTTGTTGTGGCTGGCACCATATCTAGGTCTAGATACCAGCTATGCCCTAGATCTGTTATCTCTTCTTGGAGCCTTTTTGGCATTTACAGGGTAAATTAAATCATTAATTAAATATTTATCTCATTTTATTTGAAATTATATAAAAATAGGAAATATAAAAAATATTTATATTATTGTTTGTTTTTAGAATTATCTCTCAGAAGTTTTGTACAATACCACTGTTCGCAGGATTGTGGTCGTTGTACTTTTCTTTATTCCAAGTTGGGCAAGCGTTTGTAACAAATTTGTAAGTATTGCATTTTCATTAATTAAACTACCTTGAAAATTTATTAGCAACATCCACTTAAAAATAATTAGTTGTTGATTATGTTTACTTGTTTTGTAATTATCCATATTAGTTTCTATCTTTTAGATAGAAACATTTTCTAAATAATAGTTATTTGTTGTACCCTTTTGGTATAAGTATAAGTATAAAAATGAGTACAAAGTACACATTTTAGGTGCATATTTTTAAAATGCTTTCTATGGTCATTACCCTATGAATGATTAGGGACATTCAATACATTGATTTATGTACTCCACTCCAATATAGTTTTTAACTCGATGATATACAACCTCCAATAAAGACTGTATCAAAGATATAAAATGTTTAAAATTTCTAGGAATAAAAATAAAATAGATACTTCATTGTATTGATCTAACAATATACAGCACTCATTGTATAGACAAAAGTATCTATAATTTCTAGAAATATATGAAAAAATAGCGGCGAATTATATTTGAATATATACACTTAATGAAGATCCACTTGTCCACTTTAAATTCTTTGTCTTTATAGCTGTCCTTTAGCCTTTCAGGTATCATACTTGGGTTCATTATATTATGTTTTATTCACGGATTTCTCCCATTCTTTTCTATTTTCTGCCATTGCTTTTGTTTCTTCAAGTGTTTTTAGTAATTTTTCTCTTTTCTACAAGTGGCTGTATCATTTCTTTAATTTCAAACAAGTATTCATCCAATTGGAGAAAAGTAATGCTTTTGGTATGTAGTTAATTGTTTATATACAGTGTATTTTCAAATTCATGCAACAAAATTCAGGAATTGATTGATCATATAAAATTAAGATGGGTCTTTCCACAGCCACCTTTACTTCCAAGCCATGATGTAGAAATTTGGCAGCAACGCGTGGTAGTCTGACCATTGTTTGTTGTGTTTAACATTTCACATAAGAAGGATTGTAAACTGTGTTGAATTTAGTGTTTTTTAACTTTATTCAAATGTTTTATTTGTAAATTGTGTTTAAATCAGTTAGAAAATATTAATATACTGGAGCATGTGCAAGAACCACTAGTTTTGTTGTCTGATATTTAGTGTGATGTCTTCAAGTAGTTCGGGGGGATCGTTTTGTAGAAAACTGGTTGGAGATTGGCATTTCAAGTTGTTCAAGAATTGACGGACAACCTCCCTTCTGTACTTGGTTTTGAAATTTTGTATTATTTCTTGATCAAGTGGTTGGAGTTTAGACGTTATGTTTGAAGGCAGGAACTGAACTTTAATGTTTGTTAGCACCGAAATATCTCCATGTGCAGTGTGTCGATAAATAAAATAATGTATTTCTTCTTCTTTTTCATCTCGTTGGTTTATTTCAGCCAGTCACCGAAGACTTCTTCGGTCATCCACGCTTTTTTATTAGCTGTATAGTCTGTTGGTAAGGTTGATACGTTTTTGAAACATCTGGGTTTTTCTGATTTTCCTATGACGAGATGTTTCAGTTTATCTGTACCGGATGAGTTAGTGCAGAGTAAGACTGTCAAACGATGTTTGCTGTTTTTGCCCCCTTTGCAAGGGTCTGCTTTCAACACTAACTTTTTTTCCGATAGGCACTTAAAAAAATCCCTGTCTCATCAGCATTGTACATATCATCTGCATTGTATCCACGGATCTTTCATATCACTTTTTTGAAACTAATTTCTCTTTTTGAACCGATCCAACCAGCCATTACTGACTCGGAAAGTCAGCATGCCTAATGTTTCTGCAAATTTTTGAGTCTTTTCTTTCAGTATAGGACCTCCAACGGGTACATTTATATCACGGCACTGTTTAAACCACTTAATAACATCGTCTTCGACATCCTGTAGCTCACCTTTCTTAGCCTTTTTGCAAATTTTGGACAGTTCACCGTCAACTCCGTACTTTCCTTTATTTTTTTATTATCGTGGTTAATGTGGAGGGAGTGACGTTAAAGTTCTTGGCAATCTCAAATTTCTTCTTTTTGGGATTCTCTTCAACAAATTTTATCAGTTTACGTTTAAATTCTACTGTAAGCGCTTTTCTACTGTGTTTTTGCGACATAGTTTGGAACGCAGAAATGCATAACACAGGGGATTCGTGCGTTATGTAGGGGTTTGTTACACTTAATATTCCTTATACAGGGGTTTTAATTTATTTCCACAAATCGTAAAAATTCGTTATATCGAGGGTTAAAACATTGAGTGTTATGGACCTCTGAAGGGGATTTAAAAAATTGTTATATCGGGGATTTCTTTATATCTTGCTTCGTTGGGATATATATATATATATATATATATATATATATATATATATTGTAGGCTCCGTTAATAAATAATATTGTTCTAGTTTTCTTAAGTTTATTTAGCGGAAAGAAACACTAATTGTACATAATTCGACATAACAGTTTTCATAACATTCAGATGGCCATAATTCATAATCACAAGTCTCAAGTCTAAACATAAAGTGTGTGGTTATCTTCTTTTTTTTTTCAAATTGAGTGACAATCAGATCTGTCAATGGCGCGAAATTCAAATAAGACTACAGTTCGGCCATCCTGACACGTCTGATCGTCCTCGATCAACCTAATATTACAGTATATTAATTACATAACTAAGATATTTAACATTCATGACTTTCATAAGACATAACATAATGGATATTTGAAATGAACATTTTCCTTTAAAGTTTAAAACATACAGTAATAATAATAATAATTCATAATGAGTTAAATAAACAAATCATAATAATCATAATTCATAATGGTTTAAATAAGCAAGGCATAACATCCATAATAGTTTAAATAAGCACGACATAACATACATAATGGATTGAAGTGTCCATAGGGGTACAAATGGAAATCATAATATCCATAACACACCCTAACTGTCTCGATGTAATGGTACAAGTAATGGATTATAAATAAGCATAAACATAATTGAATAAAAATTAAACATAATTATTTTAACCCTAACTAATAATGAAATTGATTATTTATCATAAGCTCTAATCCTACTACTGTCTATAACTCCCTCATATGGTACTTGTGTTGTTTGGAACCCAACAATATCATTCACAATATACCTATCATTTGGTAGCTCTTTCACAATCTCATACGGTCCTCTAAATTTTGGTATAAGTTTTTTAGCTACTCCAGGGGTTGTGTCTACGTTGGAAATCATAACATATTGCCCCACCTTAAACTTTTGAGCCTCCTTATGCTTCTTGTTATAATACTGTTCATTTACATTTTGTGCCTTAATTATTTGTGCTTCTGCCTTAGTTCGAATCATTTCTAAATCCCGTTCTTCCTTATCAATATCTTGTAATGCTTCTCTTAAATTATCCCTAATCTTTCCTATTTGATCTCTTCCAAAAAGTAACTTAGCTGGGGTTTCTCCTGTTGATCTGTTTATTGTATTATTGATGCAGAATTCCACTTCGTGTAATGCATTTGGCCAGTTGATTTGTTTTTCATCGGTTATCTTTGCTAGAAGAGGTGTCAATAACCTGTTCATGCGTTCTATTTGCCCATTGGCTCTCGGACAACCACTTGCAATCAGTATGTGTTTGATTGTATACTCCTCCAAAAATTTCGTAAAATCATGAGAGGTAAAACAAGATCCTCTGTCTGAACTGATAACGCTCGGTACACTATAATTGGCAAAATGTTCAGTTAAATATTTAATTACTTCTCCTGTATTTGTTGATTTGCAAGGATAGAACTTAATAAATTTAGTAAACCCATCAACAACTTCAAATATATATTTATTCTTATTAAAAGGAGCTAATGGCCCATAGTGATCAATATGAAGCATTTCAAAAGGTAAATTGCCCTTAGGTATACTATGTAGATATCCTTCTGATTTGCCACTTTTAGGATTGAATTCAATACACTTTAAGCAATTTTGAATATGATTTCCAATCTTAAATTTTAATTTTGGAAACCAATATGTCTTGGAAATAATTTCAAATGTTTTGTCTGTTCCGAAATGACCCAATTCATTATGATAGTGATAGATAACTGCTGACTCCATACTCTCTGGTACATAAAATGCAATGTTATCTTTCAGTTTTCTATATACTAACCCATTTCTTAATTCAAAGAAAGGATGATCTGTCTCCTCAAGTCTTTTTCGAAGATCTGAAATAACTGTATCCTTGGACTGTTTTAAAGCCAAAGTTTGTTCAATAGTATTTCCTTCTAATACCAGTACATAACTCACTCTGCTTAAGGCATCTACATGTTGCATTCTTGTATTTACTCTGTGCTCAATAGAGTAATCATAATTTTGCAATAACAAACACCATCTCATAATCCTTGGAATTATATCCTTTTTACTCATGGTTAAGCGAAAACTGTCACAATCTGTAACTATTTTGAAAGGGATTCCCTGTAGATAAACATGAAACCGTTTAAGTGCATACACAATACTCAAGCATTCAAGTTCGTAGCTATGGTAGCGAGACTCATAGTCAGTTGTTCTCTTGCTAAAGAAAAACACTGGGTGAAATTTGTCATCACTTTGTTTCTGAAGTAAAATTGATCCATAGCCTACTTGGCTTGCATCACAGTGTAGTTCTGTTTCCCTACTCGGATCATAAACTGCTAAAATAGGTTCTGATGTCAGTTTTGACTTCAAATTCTCAAAAGCTTGTAAATGTGTCATTGTAAATTCAAATTTGACATTTTTTCGTAATAGGTCATATAACGGCTTGGCGATGATAGAGAAGTTCTGTATAAAACGTCTAAAATAACTGGCAAGGCCTAAGAATCTATGCACCTGCTTGGTATCTGTAGGAACTGGATACTCTGCAATAGCTTTCACATTATCTTTATTAGGACATATACCATTTTCATTAATCCTGTAACCCAGAAAATCTATTTCTGTTTTCAAAAATGAACACTTATCTAGTCTTAACTCAAGTAAATTCTGGCTAACTAATATTAAAACTTCTCTTAACACTTCTAGATTTTCTTCGATAGTCTGAGTAGCAATTAATATGTCATCAAAATATATTAAAACATTTCCTTGTTGGCACAAATCTTTAAAAATTTTATTAACAAACCTTGCAAAAATAGAGGGACTTGAGCTCAAACCAAAAGGTAATTTAAGAAATTCATACTGACCTGAAGGTGTAACGAATGAAGTATACTTAGTACAACTTTCATCTAAAGGAACATGGTAAAAAGCATTTTTCAAATCCAATTTAGAGAAATATTTCTTATTCTTTAACCTGTCTAAATGATCATCTATTAGCGGCAAGGGAAATTGATCTCTAATAAGATATTTATTTAAAGTACGATAGTCTACACACATTCGATATTCATTTGACTTCTTCTTGGTTAATACTACTGGTGAACAGAAAGGTGAATCACTTTCCCTAATGACATTATTTTCTAATAAATTAGCAAGAATTTCATCCAATGACTTTTTCTCTGCATAAGATAGTCTACGTGGTCTGATACTAAAAGGTTCATTTTTAGTTAAAGTAAGCTGTGCTTTGAAATCACACTGTGGTCTTAATGGTTTATCATAATCAAAGTAATATGACTTCAATAAAGTTTGAACACTAGTAGTTATTTCAAAAGGTAAACAATAATTAATATTCAAGTCTGCATCTAAATTTACCATATCGTTAATAAACAAAACATCTGTAAAAGGAAATTGATAGTCCTCCTCTGTTTGTACACAAGAGTTTTTATTTATTTTAAAAGAACCATTTGAAAAACTTATATTTTCTATGGATTCATTGTTTATAAAATCTCGACCCAAAAGTAGATTCCAACTAAAAGAATCTTTCTCAACAACATAAAATTTTAAATTTACTGATATGTCATCAAAAATAACTGTGTCATAAAAAAACCCTAACACTTTTAAAGGAGATTTATTTATACCTGAATAAGATTCAATATTAGTAGAAGAAATAATATCTTCTGCCTTTACAAAATTTTCTGATATCAATGATATTGGACTCCCTGTATCTATTATACCATTTAATGTTATGCTATACTTATCTAGAACCAGGTTTAATACAAAAGGATCCGTTTGGCTCATAGGACGTTCCACTAGACCCATGGCTCCATTACTATCTCGGGTAGTTGAATCTGCAACTTGTTGCACCACTTGCTGGTTTCTATTAGGACAGTCTCTTACCATATGATCTTTGCTTCCACATCTAAAACATGATCCCCTATCACGCTTGGCTTGTCTGCACTCTGTCACTTTGTGTCCGGTACGACCACAATTAAAGCATTTTACAGGAACTGGCATCCGACCCTGTGTTGCTGTATGAGGTTGGTTCTGGCTAGAACTTACCCTATAACTTGATGCTGTAGCAAACCTTTGTCCACTTCCTGATACCTCATCTTTAACAACACTCCCCATTAACTTATATAAATCTTCAGTGCTATTGAGTGTGGATAACATCATTTTGGCTTGATTTTGAAGTAGGCGATCATCAAACCCATCAATCAGATAATGTATCATATCTTCATCCTCAACTCCTGCTTCGTTGCCCAGTAACAGTTTGTCATGGAAATATGCTGAAAAGCTTTCACTCTTTTTCCACCTTCTAGTCTCCATCTTTCTTCTCGACGACACTGGATCATAAGTTCTCCCATACATTCTCCTAATTTCATTTTTTAAACCTGTCCAATCTGTGGAAATTAAATTTGGTTTGCTGAGGTACCATTCCTTCGCTTTTCCGGTCAATTTTCCAATGACTAACAGTTGTAAAATATCAGTTGGAACATTATACACAGTTTTGATTTTTTCTATTCTTTCTAACCATATTGCAACATTCTGGCTTTTGTCTGTGCCTGAAAATTCCGGCATTAAATTTGATAATTCACTGTTAGTAATTTTTATGGGGTTATGTGTCGGCATCTGATTTTCTGGACCGGCAATTTTCTTTTTCTCTTCATAATCGAGGATTGCCTGTACCGCTGTATGAACAATTTCAGCTATACTCGCCTGAGCGACGGTGTTTCCACTTGTATTTTCAATTTCGGTGTCTGATCCCGGCATGGCTATCGTCAATACTAAACACAATTTTTAAATCTGCAAAAATATCGGCGATCCACGTAATCCCACTTCTGATTCTGTAGGCTCCGTTAATAAATAATATTGTTCTAGTTTTCTTAAGTTTATTTAGCGGAAAGAAACACTAATTGTACATAATTCGACATAATAGTTTTCATAACATTCAGATGGCCATAATTCATAATCACAAGTCTCAAGTCTAAACATAAAGTGTGTGGTTATCTTCTTTTTTTTCAAATTGAGTGACAATCAGATCTGTCAATGGCGCGAAATTCAAATAAGACTACAATATATATATATATATATATATATATATATATATATATATATATATATGTATATATATATATATATATATATATATATATATGTATATATATATATATATATATATATATATACACTCACAGAATCACTTTTCGGTCAAAAGATGGAGAAAAAAGACAAAGAAGGTGGCTACTTCATCTATTGATTGAAGACGTTTCGCTTTCTAATCAGAAAGCATCATGATCTCAGAATGTCCATTGTAGTAAGCTTTTTTACACCCTTAATATCATTGACTGCTACATGTCTTTTTGAGGTAACACACTTGTAATAACTTTTCTATGGATGTTTGGTTTTTCATACTGTTCTTTTTAGATGAACTGATGATGCTTTCTGATTAGAAAGCGAAACGTCTTCAATAAATAGATGAAGTAGCCACCTTCCTTGTCTATTTTCTCCACCTTTTGACCGAAAAACCCACCACTCTTTGAGTGATCCTTAATTTGTATTGGATTGACGGTCGTACTCCTTTTCTCGATATATATTATATGAGATAACAAAATAACCTATTATATCAAGGGTAAAAATGTTTAACTCAATTTATTGTATTAATATAACATAATATTTGTAATTCGATGTAATAAAATGATTATTTATATATTAAAATCACTACTAATACTAATCTAACTTGCAATAATCAACCTTGTGAGTATTTGATACCTATAATGTAAATATATCAAATGTTATATATTATAAGTTCCAGAAACTATCAAGTGACTGAATGCAACCAAAAATTAACCTTTAAATGAGTATTATTTTTCTGTTTCGTAATATATATATATAGGCATGCAAAATGTATATCTAGATATACATTGACAGGGTGACAAAAGTGAAGTTTAAAATTTTTTTAAATTTGCTTGACCAATTGAAAAAATTATGATTTATAACTTATTTATTTTCAGTTATTTAGAAATACACCACATTAAAATTCGTAGCATTTTTGCAATTGTCAATTTTATCCTTCAATAATCCATCTCATTAACAAAGTGAGAAATGATATCTAAAAATTATGGGCACCTTTCAGAATTTAATTTTTTTCCTAAAATTCATTTTATTTTCTAATTGTCCAATAATTACGTTTTTATAAATGAAACCACATATTTGTTTTCCGTTAATATTGGTCCCGAGTTTGTTGTTGAAATATCCCATTTCGGCCGTTTGAGTTCTGTTCTTTTGTTTTTTATCATTTATCCGATTTTCACTACAGTAGACGAGTAAATGTATGGCCATAGTTTTTTGATAATTATGTTGTCTATATGGTCCTATTTATAACTTGTGTCGCATCTTAAGTACTAAAAATGTTTTTACTTACTGTATTGGTCGATTGTCGACGATTATTTTCAATCAAACAGGATATTTGCCTTTAAATGCTGCAACTTTTGTCTTTGCTAATAAAATTTTGAGGTTGTATTGCATACACATTAAGTTTAACCGATGTATTGTTTGTTTTGTATTTCTTATTTTACTGTTTATTACAAGTATTACAAATAATTACTATTACTAACAAAATAACATTACTATTATTTTTTCATCTGCCAATAATACGGCGCTTAGATGAGTTTGTTCATCGAACAGTATACAGACATATATGTCTCACTCCTTGGTTGATTTCGATTTCTTCTGTGCTTTTATCATCAGTGTTGAATAGTACAAACTTTTTATATGAAGAGTGTTGGAGATTTCTTATATTCTGCTTGATTCTATTGTAATACCTTGCCTTTTCTTTTTCTTGTCTCGCTTATAAGCTCCTTACCTGTTGTTAACAATATATGTTTTATAATTCATTAGAATGATCCAACATTTTGGTTAAATAGGAACTTTTCTAACCCAATCGTTAGAAATTAGGTTTGTATGGGTTTAAGCCACAATTGATTGTAATGAAAATTACATTTTATAATTGTTGTTTGACGTTTCGATTTCTACTCTGGAAATCGTTTTCAAAAAAGATTATTATCAAAATATGCCAAAAAATATAACCAAAAATTATTTAGCGGTTGTTATTTAAACTAACGCGTGACTTACTCGGTTTCGATCTTGTAGGCATCGATATAATTTGGCTTTCCGTGATTCTAGTTTTTTATTTCCTTCCTTGTCAAACTGAGGTTCCGCACAATGTTTCCATTTATTGTACTGTGCTCTCAACTATTATAACTTTGTTTTCAATAGTATATCTTTTAGTTTTTGATAATTTTGTTATTACGTAATATAATTTAATTGATAATATTATGTAATATAATTCTGTCTATACATATAAGAGTTTAACCATCAACATATGATAAAATTTCTGTTTCAGTATCTGTAATGTATGTATCTTTGCTAACTTTATCACCTGGCATTAACGATGTATTTATTTCTCTTTTTAGTGATGAACTGCTTCTAGAAACAGGATTTTTAGCTATTTTTGTGGCTCCACTATTGCCAGGACGTCGCAGGGGTTCAAAAGGATGTCCCAAAGACCTAATATCATTATGGCTGGTCAAATGGCTCTTATTCCGGATTCTGTTCATGTCAGGTACACAGAAGTTCATCAATGGAGATCCTGTATGGTGGAACCTAAAAGGTAATAAAAGTAAAAAACTGATTTATTTTTTCAAAGCAGTAGCAAATGTAAATATAACAAATAGAAATATATTAGAACAGGATGTTTGTTGACGCGTTAATATAAACATCATTGTGTTTGATATATATCGTATTCTTTAATTTTTTTTCGGTACTTAAGTTATGTAGTTCCCACCAACTATAGTATGGTTTGAGCACTATAAAACAGGGTGTGGGTGAAAAAATGCGGGGGTTGTTATGAGACTTTTCAGATTGTTGCAAAACCCAAGATTCGTAACTTTATAAAATATAACCACGACCTATACAACCATAGGAGCCGATATAGCTTCTTTTCTTAAGAAAATTTAATTCGGAACTTCAAATTGTCAGATTTTGGAAAAATTTGTAATGTTAATGAAAAATTAACCAATTTAAAAAAAAAATTAATTATGTATCTTACAAAAATTTACATGGTTTTTGAATAACTAGGATATTTTCTATAATTAAAAAAAATATATATCGAAATCGGTTAATTTTTCACCCAGCTATTAAAAAATCTTTCACAGCTCTGCTGATTTGAAGTACCAATTCAATTTTCTTGCTCGCCGCTTCAGCCGGAGAGGGATTTCCCCCCACAACCATGACTATGCCGTAACTTCGCGGGTTATTATTTAGTGTGATGAAAAAAAAGCGTGTTTTTTTTTAATAAAAGACAAATGTTTCTTGAAAATATAGGTCATTAAGTATCGAGTGCCGCCCATTTCGTTTCTTAATTGTTATAAACAAAATTGTTATATGTAATTTAATGGTAGAGAATTAAAAAAAAAGAGACTATCTCGGCTCCTATTGATCGTAGAATTTTTTTCCCGTTCGTCTTAAAGCTAAAATTCTTAAAAAGGCACAAAGTAGAAAGCAAATTTATGTTATGTTATTAACCAAAGTGGCAGCGAATTAAAAAAAAAGAGGCTATCTCGGCTCCTATTGATCGTAGAATTTTTTTAGAAGAATGTAACGGTGAATATTTTGAAAACAATAAAGAATTTTTAGTTCTAAATATTTTTGTTCCCTTCTATAGCATTTTTCATATAAAAAAGCTTGCACGTCATTCAAGATTTACGTCGTCAGAACCCCACAGCGTTGCCAAAACATCAGAATAGTTAGTAGGTGAGGAATTTTTAAAATGTCAACTATTTGTCAAACTATTATATTAACAGTAAATACACTTAGTTTTAAGACTACTGCAACATATTAAAATACATAAGAAAATATTTTAATACAAAATTATACATTCTAAATTTTAAACTTACCTCTTGAGGGCTTCAATAGTAAAAATGTCCCTCCATTAATTCTTGTTCAAAATAATCTATCTTATATGAAAGCTTATCAGCTTTCTACAGACTATTTAATTTTTTGGCATAGCACAATCACAATACACAACAATAATTAGTTTTTAAAGCTATTAATCTAAATTTAATATATATATATATATATATATATATATATATATATATATATATATATATATATAGTTTTACCGAAAGTACAAGCTGAATATAGCCGCAAATGTCAACCAAGAATTAAAATATTTCGGGTTGGCAGTGTTGGGATGTTTTTAGAATGCATCTGTTGTATGCTTCAAACATAAAGAGAGAAAGCTTTTAAAAAGTACATATCGATTATACTGTTTTATAAATTCTGCAATTTTTAATTTATATGAACGAGTAAATATTTGTCTCTCTTGAGATTAATTGCAAACATCTGTTGTAATCTGGCAACTGCTGATTTGACAATTGCCAAATCTATTCCCTAATCTATCAAAGGGTAATTGCCAAAAAAAAAAATTAATAATTAACTGCAATTAATCTCCAAAGAAACAAATATTTACTCATTCTTGTTTTATATAAATCAAAGATTGCAGGATTCATAACATAATATAAACATTTTCTTTTTATATTTGAGGCATACAGCATCTACATTATAAAAACATGTCAACAGTGCTAAACCGAAATTTTTTGTTCCATGTTTGACATTTGCGGCTATAATCAGCTTGTACTTTCGGTAAACTCAACCTTAATAATATATATTATAATATGATCAAATTTTATGTACCATATACCGTGGTACATTTTATGTACCATGTACCATATTTATATATATATATATATATATATATATATATATATATATATATATATATATATATATACAATTTTGTATCCTTTTCAGGTATATCTCGTGTTTATGAAGTATTACCTTTACCTACGCCACTGTCTTGGTATGCATATGCCCTTCCTGAGTGGCAGCTAAAGCTCACACAAGTTTTCGTTAACGTCGCTGAGATTATTTTACCTTTCTTGTTTTTCGTACCTCTGAGATGCGCCAGACATTTTGCGTTCTTAGCACAGGTAAGTTTAAAAATAAAACAGTGATGATAATTTAAGATTTTAACGTGAACACTGGAAAATATTGTATATTAAAATAATAAAAAGTATGTCAGAAACACTTCTGACATTTCTTCCTCTGGCCAAATTCTACAAATTATATTTTGGCCTGGTATAGGTTATCCGTTGTTCGCCGTGTTAAACAAGTCTCTGGGAGTCCATCAATGTTTGGGACATGTGGTTTTTTATGACGTTTTACTTCATCTACCGGGACTTCATAAATTTGTAGTTTCGAGCCTGTATTTCTATATTCGTGAAATATTGTTCAAACTGGTTGTTTCTTGATTGGTTTTAGGATATACTAATCGGCTGCAGTGTTATATTTCCGGTAGTCTTCGGAGGGCACGTAAACCCGTCGGTCCCTGCTTCGTAAGTGGTCGTTAAGCCATGTTACGGGTGTTTGCGCGACACCTGACAACACTAACACTAGACCTTAGCCAGAGGTCTAGTGTTAGTGTTGTCACGTTACACGAACTTTACTTTTTTTAGAGCCCCTAAAAGTAGAGTTTAAATACCCACTCCTTCTAGATTAGTCCTAGCATGTCCTCCTAGATTAGTCAAATCGTACACTGTATCGTTAGGAATATTACCTAAAGAAAATTTTTGTTTTAGTTTGTTCATCGTCATGTAACCTCTTCTGTCCACTGCTGGACATAGGTCTCTCCCATTTTTCGCCACTCTTCACGGTTCTGTGCGTCTTGTCATTTCTTGGATATTCGTTTAATGTTGTCCATCCAACGTGTTGGTGGTCGTCCTCTGCTCGTTTGTCTTCTCTTGGGCGTCAGTCAATTAGTTTTCTGGTCCATCTTGAGTCTTTTAGTCTCGCTATGTGACCTGCCTAATTCCATTTCAGCTTAGCTATACGTTCGATGACATCAGTGATATCTATTCTTTTCCTTAGGTCTTAGTTTCTTATTTTGTCTTTTTTTTTGTCCCGCCGAGAATCGATCTTTCCATGGGCCTTTGTGCCACTCGCATTTTTAGTGCTGTTGTTTTTGTGGGAGTGAGGGTTTCTGCTCCGTATGTCATAATAGGAAGAACGCATTGGTCAAATGTTCTCCGTTTCATAACTATCGGGATGTTGGTCTTAAAGATGTCTCTTAGTTAACCATACGCCGCCCAAGCAAGTGTTATTCGTCGTTGAAATTTGCAGGTCTGATTATTCTTGTTTATTCTGATTTCATGGCCGAGATATATGTACTTTTCTGTCAATTGTACCATTTGATTTTGGATGGTTATTTGGACGTATTTTATTTTTAAACCGACATTATTTTTCATTGTTTCGATTTTACAGATCATTTTAAATTTACATACTTATTTCTATAAGGGTGTTTCTGCTTCCATCAATTTCTAATCTCTTCCTAATTACCTACTGTTTGGTGTTTAGACGTGCTCTTAATTTTTTAAGCATGGTTAAAATGATCATCTTTTCGTTGTAGGTCTTGGTATATTGGTTGCCGATGGTATATACGTAGTAGAAATATGCTTAGGTGGCTTGCGTTTATTTATTCCAGTTTGTCTTCAGTCTACCATTATCTAAAATATGCAAATATATCAAAACTCATTCTTGTCTTTGGGATCATTTATCACAAACACAGGGACGTTCCAGGAGGAGATAAAACGTAGATCGCTCTGGGAATGATGACCAAAGTATGGAAAGAACCCAATATTTCAAGAACCCTAAAGATGAGATTGTTTAACTCATTAATATTTCCAGTATTGACATATGTATGCGAACTTGGACAGTAAGGCAATCAGAAAGGAGGAAGATAGACACCAATGAAATGTTCTGCTGGAGAAGAACATTGCAAATTCCATGGACCTACCGTAGAACAAATAATTATATTCTAAAAGAGCTGAAGATGTACAAGAAACTCTTCAAAAAAATCCAAACTAATCGTTCAAGAGAAGGTAAAAGGCCGAAGACCTCCGAGATGGAGTGACCAGATCACAGGAAGTTGCAGAAGACCTATGCATGATGCAATAGAAATGACCAGAGACAGAAATCTATGGAGATGGACCATAAACGATATCACGACGACTACTACAATCCCTCCGGGGGGTCAAGATTGAAAAGAGATTTCGAAACATATATTGTGGCAAAGCGCATCTCCATTTCTTTGATCTGAACAAATACGAAGCTAGAAAAGCACCTAAAATTAATGAATTTTAGCTGCTTTAAAGCATTATTGAAACATATTTATATGTACTATATATTGTAAATATTATTAATCATAAACCTTATTTTTCAGTTATTCTTACAAATATGCGTCATTCTAACTGGTAATTTCGGATTTGCCAATATACTCGTGCTGACCCTATTATTAGTGCTACTGGACGATCAATGTTTCTATAAGAAGAAGTCTTCGGGCAAGTGGTCAATATTGGGAAAAGTAGCATCTTTTGTGATTATTATAGGTATTATATATGGATCGATTGTTCTCTTCAATTTGAAACTGAATAATGGTCAAGTGGAGTCCAATATTGGTAAGTAAATCTTTCCGTATGGCTTATTAAATCTGACAGATTCTATGTCTGCGTAAGATCGAATCACTAATTGTATACATATAAAAAAATTAATAAGTTTGAGCCATCAACCAAATATCTAAATTATAAATTGTATTTAATATATCTTTCCCGGTTTACACTTCGTACACAAAAAGGAACATAAAGTAACATGTTTAATGCCATGATCCACAAAATGAAATTAAATGGACTATATTTTATACTCTTTTGACAATCTCTCAGCATTTTGATTAACAACAATTTCTTTGTGCCATGGGACGCATAACAAAGTAAGTTTATTGTGCTTAGCCAGGTGCTTAAGGGACTTCTTGCAGTTCCAAGATGTTATGAACTCATAAGTTGTATACTTCAGAGTCTTCAGTGCAACTTAGCTGTCACAGGCAATAAGTAATTTGAATATTTGCAGTTGGCACTGGAAATATGTTTGTCGTCAGCTTATAAAAGAAATGACATGTGAAGAACTCCATTAACACGTTGTATCATTGCTGTCATATGCACATAGTGGTGTTGCTTTGAGAATGAACTTTTATTTATATTTATCTTAGTTTTTGTTAATAGTAACAATTTTGGTTATTCAGTAGTCATTGTAATGTAAAAGACGTTAAAGGTCTATCTATCTTATATATAAATTTCATTACTCAAACATGCAATATTTCTAATACATGTACACTAGCCCAAGATAGTGAAGAGGCGCGAGTTCTGGGTGCGCATTAACAAAGTTTGAAAAAGTTGGGAAAGCTTCATCCTGATTAAATGGGTTAGGCTTTCACGGCCATCGTCTAACTTAAACTATTTGTTCGGGCTGTTAGGCTGTTGTCTTCTGAGATTAGTTCTCGACATTTCGCCAACACCAGGGGTTGGCATCTTCTGGAGATGGTATTGCTTCGCTTTTTTTCGTGATTTGCGGGAACAATGTTTGTGGGTTTTAATATCGGTATCCATGTTTCCTTAATTCTTAGTCCTTCTTCTGTCCGATTAAAATTATTTGGATGCTTATATATTTCCACCGCTTCCCGATATAACCGTGGGTAGTACTGTGTGTAGTACTTCCCGAAGCGTGTTCGGCAGCGGCAGATTTCTCGATATGTCCTAAACGACAATGGCTTTTATGTTCGTTTATCTTTCTATTTGTGTGTCTTTTTGTGGTTCCCACATATACCATTCCACATGTGCATATTTCTCTTCTGGTATAACCATTAGAGGTAAGCGCTTTTTCAATATGAAGAAGTTCACTTTGCAGATGCTGTGGTTCACAAATAATTATCTTCGCCATCTCCGCCAGAGTTTTGATGATAAAGTGAAGTCGTTTTACCCTGTCGTATTTTGGGATTAACGCCCGAAAAATAATTTATGACTCTAGTTACAGCCACTCTGTTATGCTTTCCCTTTTCTACCTGCTTTGTGGTACCGAACCTCCTACTGGTCGGCTGTAGTACTTGAGGATAAATCAGCGCTACCAAAACAATTTTTTTATAAATCGTGAAAAAAACGCAAATTGAATGCTTTGTGATGATAATTTATTGAAAAAACTTTTATAATTTTATTTCAAATAAAATTGTCTCGAGGAGTGCATCCATTCCTTGCGGTTGCATAACTGGATAATTTTAGTTGTTATATTTGCAAAAATAGTAAACAGTCTGCGGAGTCGAGGCTCTCCATTGACCGGACTCATCGGCCAATGACCGACGCGCCCTGTCACTGTGGCCCCGCCCCCTCGTGTATATATTCAGAGAGATCCGAAAAATCTCGCTAGTATTCAAAGATCGCCGGTCTTCAATAGTGACAATGGATAACGTACAAGGAAACGATAGAACACCTAAATATAAGTTTTTATCTCCGAGTGAGCGTCGAATTGTGTTGAAAGTGGAAAATTATTTTACTTTAGAAAAAATCAACATGGGACCAGTTACATCAGTACTGGCAGTTCAAAAAAGGACAAGTACAGCTTGTGGAATTTCAGAACGGACCTTGCAAAGAGTTCGCAAAATGAGTCAGGAGGAATTAAGTAAGGTAAATAAAAGGATTCGTTTGCCGAAAACCCCCGACTTGGCACAAGGTATTAAAATCTCAATCAGAAATATCATTTATGACATGTACAAAGCAAAAGAACATGTTACAGGAAGGACACTTATTCAAAAAATAAAGGACAGAGAACTTTGTGATGTGTTTGGGTTTGACCAGTTTATCAAAAGTATTAAAAGCTATGGGTTTTAGATACAAAAAAAAGCAAAAATCGTAAAGTGTTGTGCGAGCTGTCCAATGTTGTTGGAAAAAGGTGGAAATTTATAAAAAACTTTAAAAAACAATAATTCCGAATTTGCCAGACAATTTGTGTTTCTTGACGAAACATGGATTTTTGCCAAAAGAAATAATACGAAACCATCCTGGCAAAATGATTCTACCAAATGCTATTCGAGTACTAGTGCGAGTAATGGCAAAATATATATTATATTGCATGCAGGAAATACGGAAGGTTTTATACTCAATGCTAGTCTTATATTTTCTTCGACAAAAAAAAACTGATGATTACCACGGAAATATGGACGCCGATATTTTTGAACATTGGTTTGAGGAAAAATTATTAAAAAATCTGGAAAATCCGTCATTAATAGTCTTAGACAATGCTTCGTATCACACCAGAGAGGAGGAAAAGTTTGAAGACTTAAGAAAGTGGCTGTCGGAGAAAAATATAGAACACGAACATCTAGTTTTAAAAGCTGAATTATTAAATAAGTGCAAAGAGCACATTACTGAGAAAAAATTTGGCACTAAAATATGGTCATGAGGTCCTAAGACTACCACCATATCACTGCCAGTACAATCCAATTGAATTGGTATGTTGTAAGACCTGCTTGTAAGACCACCGACGAAGCCAGCGTTGTACAACTCTGGTAAGATGCACTAAACCAAGTCAATAAGGAACAATGGCGGAAATGTATTGAGCATACTGAAAAAAATTAGTCATATGAAATAGAACAAGTTGTTGATGAAGTAAGACCTTTAATTATTCGTACAGATGAAGATTCAGATGAATCGGATAGCGAGTCAGATAGTGATGGTACCTGTCCATAGATTAAGACGTAGATAGAAAAATTAACACAAAAGGGTACTAACCACCAAAAAAAAAACAAAAAAAAATAAAACCGCAGGCAGGAGAGAGCCGGAGGCACGCCGCACGACGCTCTTGAATGCAAGCACCAAAAAAATTAGATTAGCAAGTAAGGTAGATTAAGGATTAGGATTAAGGATTTTGGCCATTTTTTTTAGGTATTTTGTCCATGATTTTATATTTTAATGTGTGTTATAAATGTTGAGTGTCAATGCTTTTGTAAATAATCTCAACGACTAGTACGTTACACTGAAGAATTGTGATGTTTTTTAAATATTTACATATTTGTCTTATTACAGTGTCTTGAAAAAGGAATAAAACCATTTAGAAAACTAGACAAAGAGTCAAAAGAGTGTTTTCTTGAACATCCCGGCCAATATTCTGACTGAAACCCTAATAAACTGTGTTGTTTGTTTATATCGACAGTCACTAATATCCAGTATTTCTTGTATATATATATATACTGAAATGCGAAAATTATCGCGGCATAACCCTCTTATGCACGGCGTACAAAATTTTTACTTACATACCAAACAAACGCCTCTAACAACTAACTGAAAATATTGTCGAGGAATATCAAACCCGTTTCCGACAAGGAAGATCTACAACTGACCAACTATTCACAGTAAAAACAATTTTAAACAAAACAACAGAAATATATTCACAATTAAAAACAAAGGCAAAAGATTTTAGATTTGTTGTATATCATTCAATATTTAAGAATACAGCATTTTCCGTTCTTCCAAGCTTTATTCGTTAAATTAAAATATACAATGTTGAATATCCCTTTACCAGTGTTCTACATTCTACTTAACCTATATCTGTCTAAAAAACTAAATCTTCTTCTTTTTATATTATTAGTGTCTATATAATATACCTATTCTCTAATAAAGATTTTAACGTAGAGTTGGTATATATTTTAACAAAAGAGACCGGACTAGAAATAAATATTCAAAAGACAAAAAAGTTAACACATGCAAGAGCTAGGGGAAACAGATGCACAGTTGAATTAGAGGACGATATTGAAACGATAGAAAGTTTCACATATTTAGGAGTTGCATTAAACAGGGATGGAACAGAAGAACCAGAAATCTAAAGAAGAATAGTAAAGGTAAACAAAGCTTATTTTTCACTCGATCATGTGTTCCGCTCCAAAAATACACACCGTAGATCGAAAATCAGAGTCTAAAAAACTATTATCAGACCAATAGTATATTATGCATGCGAGACATGGCTGATGACAGAAGAGACAAAAAGAAAACTGGAAGTCTTCGAATGAAAAGTCCTAAGAAAGAAATTTGGGCCTATTAACGAAAACGGAATATGGAGATCCAGGTACAACCATAAACTCTACAAACTGTTCAAAGAGACACCGATCTCAGAATTCGTTAAACTTCCGAGACTTCGCTGGGCTAGTCATGTAGTAAGAATGGGGACAGAAAGATTTCCGAAAAGAGCCCTAGATAGTAAAATGCAGGGCGCAAGACCAAAAGGAAGGCCACGGAAAAGATGAAAGGATGAAGTGGCAGCGGACACGCAAAATTTGCTCGACGTGAGAATGAAACGAATAAAATATGTGAATTGACAAAGTTCAGAAGAACTGAAAGAGAAGGAAGGAAAATATTAAAAATATGGCTAAGCTCAGAGGAACAAAGTTAAACGGCCAAAGAGACACTAAATCTCAAGTGAGTGTTCGGGCTAGCTTCGATGCACTGGATTGCGGCTTTAAAGATACAACAGATAACAAGGATAATGAGCTAATGAGACAAGAAACGAAATGAGACCTGACAATGTCAAACGTGATATAACTAAAGAAGGTCACTGGGAATAAATTTATAGAAAGAGAACACTA